GGGCTGCATTCCCAGACGGTGAAGACATTCTAAGTCACAGAATGACGTAGGAGGTCCACACCAGATACAGGTCATAACGACCTTGCTGATAAGACAGGTTGCAGTAAAGACGCCCGCCCAAACCCACCAAAACCAAGATGGCGACGAGAGTGACCTCTGGTGGTCCTCACTGCTATACTCCCACCAGCGCCACGACAGTTTACAGCTGCCATGGCAACCTCAGGAAGTTCCCCTACTTGGTCTAAAAAGGGGAGGCACGAATAATCCACCCCTTGTTTAGCATACCATCAAGAAATAACCATAAAAACGGGCAACCAGTCCTGGCGCGGTGGCTCACACCTGCAATCCCAGAACTTTGGGAGGCCGAGGTGGTGGATCACGAGATCAGGAGATCGAGACCATCCTGGCTAACACAGCGGAATCCCGTCTCTACTAAAAATACAAAAAACAAAAAGTTAGCCAGGCTTGGTAGTGGGCACCTGTAGTCCCAGCTACTCGGGAGGCTGGGACTTGCTTGAACCCAGGAGGCGGAGGTTGCAGTGAGCTGAAATTGCACTCCAGCCTGGGCGACAGAGGGGCAACCACAGCCCTCGGGGCTGCTCTGTCATGGAGTCACCATTCTTTATTCCTTTATTTTCCTTATAAACTCGCTTTCACTTGAGAGACTCGCCCTGAACTTTTTCTTTCACGAAATCCATAAACCCCCTCTGGGGGGTCTGGATCGGGATCCATTTCCTGTAACACGGGAAGCTTTGGTAAGAAATGGACTGTCCAGACATCTGGCGGCCACAAAGTGTTCAGTCTGCCTTCGCCGCTCTTCATACAGGAACGCACTGAAACGAAGCAGAATCCCTTTCCTGGCTGGGAGCCATGAATCTTTACTTTCTAAATAGCACTCCCTTCCATTCACTTCTCTCTGCTTCCCCTGCGCTCATCCGGGTCTAAGCCACCATCCTCCTTTGCCTAAATGATGAAAGAATCTCCCTGGCTCCCCTCCAATCACTTTCCTGCAGAACAGCCAGAGGGGTCACTTTCAAATGCAAACCTGAACTTGCAGCGCCTCTGCTCAAAGCCCTTGGGCAGTTTCCACCAGCATTAAAGCTTGAACTCAGCCCAAGTGCTGCGTGTTCGCCCCTCTGGCTGCTCCGGGATTATCCTGTACTCTCTTTCTACTTCTCCCTCTCTGTAGCCTGGGAAACTCGTCTTTTTTTTTTTTTTTTTTTTGAGACAGAGTTTTTTGCTCTTTTTGCCCAGACTGGAGTGCAGTGGTGCGATCCGGCTCACCGCAATCTCCACTTTCCGGGTTCAAGTGATTCTCCCGCCTCAGCCTCCTGAGTAGCTGGGATTACAGGCATGCGCCACCACTCCTGGCTAATTTTGTATTTTTAGTAGAGATGAGGTTTCTCCATGTTGGTCAGGCCGGTCTGGAACTCCCAACCTCAGGTGATCCACCCGCCTCAGCATGAACCACTGCACCTGGCCCGCTCACTTGTTCTTAGAACGTTTGTTGTGAAGAAGCTCAGGTTTAATGAAGACCACATGCAGGTGTTCCAAGCAACGGCCCCAGTGAGGGTCTCAGCCTATAGCCTGTAGCAACTGACACATATGTGTGTGAGCAAACATTCAGATGATCTCAGCCCCCAGACTTTGAGCCACCCCCGCTGATGCCAAGGTTGAGTTATTCTTCCCAAGCCTGCCCAAATTGCAGATTGAAGAGTAAAATGAATGTCATTTTTTTTTTTTTTTTGAGACAAGGTCTTGCTCTGTTCCCCAGATTGGAGTGCAGTGGCGCAATCTCAGTTCATTGCAACCTCTGCCTCCTGGGTTCAAGCCATTCTTATGTCTCAGCCACCTGAGTAGATGGCATGTGCCACCACACTTGGTTAATTACAGGCGTGTGCCACCACACTTGGTTAATTTTTGTATTTTTAGTAGAGATGGGGTTTCACCATCTTGTCCAGGCTGGTCTTGAACTCCTGGCCTCATTTGATCCACCTCTCCCTCTCAAAGTGCTGGGATATAGCTGTGAGCTGCTAGCCCTGTGAATGTTGTCATTCGAAGCTTCTAAGTCTTGGGCTGCTTTTTTTTTTTTCTTTTACGGAAAGCCCAGACCTTACAATGTTTCTATTTTTTTTGCTCCGTTTTTCTTTCTTTTTAATGTTTTTGTAGAGATGGGATCTTGCTATGTTGCTCAGGCTGGTCTCGAACTCCTGGCCTCAAGGGATTCTCCCCCACCTTGGTCTCCCAAAGTACTGAGATTGTCAAAGGCTGATTTGTTACACAGCCATAGCAAGAGAAATTTAGGAGCTGTTACACATATACCTTTTCTTGGAAGTATTTGTTACACGTGAAACATTACATGTGTGATTATTAGATTCCTGTCTATCCTGAAAGACTGAAAGCTCTTAGCCAAATTTCTGTTCTTTTTTACTATTTATTCCTAACACTTAGCACAGTGCCTGGTAAACAACACATTCAATGCCAGTTTACTCCCAACTTTCCTGCTCCTTTTCACTGATAACAAGTGAATGCACTTGGTCATTAAGTGAATGTTCATTTATATCATAAATGCTGACTGAGTGGCTGAGTCAGGGATTTGCCTTAGAGATGGTCCTCAAAACAAACATGACCTACAAGGGACTGTGGGAGGACACAGAAGGGGACTGGGAAAGCTTTCTGAGGGAAGGTGATATTTGGGTTGGGTTTGGAAGGATGTGTAGGTGTTTTCGCGATAACAAAGAGGCACCACAGTACTTCTGGCAACGGAAATGACGAGGGCCAATGCTTTGGGCCAGGAAGCAGGCAGGTCAGTCAGGCAATGGTGTGAGGTTCTGCCCAGAAGCAGTTTGCTTGGGTGGAACATCCTGCAGGAAAAGGTTCCTAAGGACAGATTCTGACAGTCGGCAATGTAGGTGCTTGTCTCATTAGAGACAGGTCTCCCTATCTCTAATGAGATGAAATCTAAGTGAGAGGGTAGATCCCTTGCCTCCTTCAATTTCACCTCCTCCCTCCCTCCCTCCCTCCCTTCCAGATGGGAAGGAGGGTGAAGAAGGAAAAAAAAAATGAAATAAAATACCAAAGAGCTGGGGAAATGACTCCCTTTTTAGTTCCCAGCGTCTCTGCTATCTGTTAGCCTTGAAAGAGCTGCAAATGAATGTTATCCCTGCCGGCTGGAGCCCGGCACTGGTTCACGCCCCCACATCTCCACAAAACAGGTGCCCTCCTGGAAACACCTTTGCCAACAAATGGCTTGTTACTTTTGTCTTGTCTCTGTAAGCCCCCTCCCATGCTGGTCCCCACTCACGCTGCATATGAATTAGCAAATAAATGAAGCCAAAAGATTGTAAGGTCAGACATCCAGCAAATGGACAATGACATAGTTCCGCTTCAGCTTCCCCTTTAGCGGTGTAAGCCTATAAAAGGAGAGAGAAGCTGCAGTTTGGGGAGCTCAGTGAGTGAGGCTGTTGCCCCTCGAAACTCCCAGCTGAATAAAAAAGCCACTTCCTTCCTCAGTTTGGCGTTTGATAGGTTTGTTCCATGCCGTTCCTGCTTCATAAGCATCTACACTGCAGGCTGTCAGAATTGGTTTTTAGAAACCTTTTCCTGCAGAATTTTCGAGGTGGCTCACGCCTGTAATCCCAGCACTTTGGGAGGCCAAGGCAGATGGATTGCCTGAACTCAAGAGTTCAAGACCAGCCTGGGCAACACACACACACACACACACACACACACACACACACACACAAAGAAATAGGAAGACCTTGGAGGTTTGGAAGCAGTGGTGGAATGAACCGAGTTTTTTCTTTCTTTTTTTTGAGATAGAGTCTCTGTCACCAGGCTGGAGTGCAGTGCTGCAATCTTGGCCCACTGCAAACTCCACCTCCTGAGTTCAAGCGATTCTCCTGCCTTAGCTTCCTGAGTAGCTAGGGCTACAGGCGCGCGCCACCACACACGGTATTTTTGTATTTTTAGTAGAGTCGCAGTTTCACCATGTTGGCCAGGATGGTTTCAATCTTTTGACCTCGTGATCTGCCCACCTTGGCCTCCCAAAATGCTAGGATTATAGGCGTGAGCCACCGCACCTGGCCTGAGTTTTTTCTTTTCTGTTTTTTCTTTTTTTTTTTTGAGGTGAGATGCTCTAAAACAAACAAAAAACACTGCTATGCTTCCCAGGCTGGAGTGTAGTGGCGAGTTCATAGCACGCCAAGCTAATTTATTCACTTTCAATTTTTTTTTAGTAGAGACGTGGATCTTGCTCTGCTGCCCAGGAGGTCTTGAATTCCTAACCTCAAGCATTTCTCCTGTCTTTATCTCCTAGATAAAGTGGCCTGAGCCACCACCCTCAGCCTGGAGTTCTTGAGAGTACCAGGGCTGAGAAAGTTCCAGGGTTAGGAGGCTCCTAAACTGGTCCAGCTGGGAAGTAATGGGACCAAGGACAGGGAAGTGAAAATGGAGGATTAGGACTAACTCAAAGGCCGTTTAGCAAAAATTCACCATGCAAGGCCCTGTATTAGGGCGCTGGGTGCTCATATTTCATTGTCCCATCAGCTCTATAAAGCAGGGGCCCACAGACCTTTTCCATAAAAGGCCAGATTGTAAATACATCAGGTTCTGCAGATCTGTAGGATCTTTAGCAACTAGCTACTCTATTGTGCAAAAGCAGGCTGAGATCCTAGGTAAACTGGCAGGCGTGTCTGTGTGCCAATAAAACTTTATTCAGGGACCTTCAAATGTGAATTTCACAAACTTCTTCACTGGTCATAGACTATTCTTCTCCTTTGGATTTTTCCCCCAGCTATGTAAACATGTAAAAATCATTCTGAGCTTTCGGGGCCAGACCAAGAAACCGGCGGGCCTTGGTTCGCCTACCGCCTGCTATATAAATCGTTAATTAGGTTTGAGAGCAATTTTAAGAAGATCCTCAGAGGAGACCCTCAAAGAACACCGCCCCTCTAACGTCATCAAACCCCGCCTCCAAAGGCGGAGGCTGCGCATGCGCGGGAGGCCCTCGGGCGGGGGCGGGGCGGGGTGCAGCTCCGACTTCGAACATGGCGCACGCTGGCGGCGGCGGCAGCAGTGGTGGCCCCGCGGGCCGGGGGCTGAGTGGCGCCCGCTGGGGACGCTCGGGCTCCGCGGGCCACGAGAAACTGCCGGTGCACGTGAGTGGCATCCCCGCCCTCCCTTGGGGACCTCATCTTCTGGACTCCGCGGGCAGGCGCCCCTCACCCAGGCCCCGCCCGGCCCTGGCCCCGGCCCCGCCTCAGACTCCCCTCTGCTCGGTCCCCGATCCCTCACTCCTCACCTTTCACCTTGGCCCTCCGAAGGTCCGGCCTGTTCCCTTCTCCTCCAGGGATCCCAGCCCCTCGTTCCCTCCTCCCGCGGCCCCGGCCCACCGGGACTCTTCCCCGCTCTGCAGGTTGAAGACGCCCTCACCTATCTGGACCAGGTGAAGATCCGGTTTGGCAGCGACCCCGCCACCTACAACGGCTTCCTGGAGATCATGAAAGAGTTCAAAAGCCAGAGGTACCCGCGGGGCCCCTCTCCACCTCGGGGGACCCCCGTTGGCCGGAATCGGGCCTAGCGGGGTGGGACCTCCCCTCTCCAGGCTGCCCCCTTAGCCGGGTGACCTTGCGCGGGTTGTCGAATCTCTCAGAGCCTTAGCTCTTTCTCGTAACAAAAATGGAAATGGGTAGTACCCACTTTGTGGAGCTTCGTGGGGATTCCTGAAAGGAGGGCAGGGACCTGGAGGGAGCCAGGGAAGGCGAGGCCGTGCACACTCATAGAGTCGAATCCTGCCTTGATTTAATATGTTGATTGTTAAATAAGTTTTGTTCATGAAAGATTTGGTGGGACCCATTTTGATTTTTTTTTTCAAGTCTTGGTGATTGAAATTTTTGGCACCCTCTTCCTCTTTAATCTTGTCCTCAGCATGCTTCTCTGGGCTCACCGGAGTCCCAGGCCTGCTTGGAAGTGAGACGCATAAAATGCTTAGTAAGGGAGCTGGCATACAGAAAACGTTTAAAACACATGAGCTGATTTTGCAGGCCCAGAATCAAGGAGGATTACAGATAGATGGGAAACCCTGGGATCATGCACTTGTTTTTGTAGGAGGCTTAATGGGACTTGGAATGGGTAAGGGATCCACCTAAGTGGCAGAGGTGGCACTAGAACTCAGACCCTCTGACTCAGATGCATTCGGGTTACATCCCTACCATGCTGCTGCCCCCTTTGGTGGGGCTGGCCTGGTCTCCTTCCAGGAGCCCAGTGCTAAGGGCTGTGATGCAGCCCGGAGGGAGACCCCATCTCTCCCCTCCTATTTATCTTACACTTTTCCCATACTTGGCTGTACCGTTGGTGTTTATGCATTGCAGTCGTTTGCTCAGATGGAAACCTGTGTCATAGTCATCCCCATCTGATATGAAATGAGGGAATTTTTCACATTGCTTAGAGGACTTAGGCCTCCTGCCACTTCTTGGAGACCAGGACTTGCGGTTGGCTCTCCTGACATTTTCAGAACCCAGTACTCATTCGTGGAGTGTTTTGCGGGAGCTGAGCAATGTCAGTATTTTCTGGTTCTCACCAAAAGGGCACAGGGAGCTCAGGCCTAGCTGCTCAGGAAATAGATCATGGTGTACAGATGCTATCTCAGGGGCACCTTTTTTTGGAGACGGAGTCTCACTGTGTTGCCCAGGCTGGAGTACAGCGGCATAATCTTTGCTCACTGCAACCTCTCTCTCCTGGGTTCAAGTGATTCTTGTGTCTCAGTAGCTGGGATTGCAGGCACGCACCACCATGCCTCGCTAAGTTTTGTATTTTTAGTAGAGACAGGGTTTCGCCATGTTGGCGAGGCTGGTCTCAAACTCTTGACCTCAGGTGATCTGCCTGCCTTGGCCTCCCAAAGTGCTGGGATTACAGGTGTGAGCCACTGTGCCTGGTGGATCATATTAGCTTGCTTTGTTGTCTGTGGAGAAGGTTGTTATGTGGCAGTATCAAGGGAGTAGGGAACAGATTTCATTTTTTATTTGCTTCCCAAGACCCACTCTTGTTGTTTCTTCTAGTATCGATACTCCTGGAGTCATCAGACGTGTCTCTCAGCTCTTCCACGAGCACCCTGACCTCATTGTTGGATTCAATGCTTTTCTTCCCCTCGGATACAGAATAGACATTCCCAAGAACGGGAAGTTAAACATACAGTCGCCTCTAACATGCCAGGTATGCCGCTACAGTGATTCGGGTGTTCTCAGCCTTCACCGCGTATATCTTGCTACTCAGGTTGGGCCACGTGTCTCTCTTGTGTCATTGCTAGAAAGCCACTTAACATCCGTTCTTTTTCTAGACATGCTCATTGCTTCTAGCACAAATCAAAATAGATACGGAAACACCTACACAAGCAGCCTCTGCCTCCCAAATTGATCTGCTGGGAAGATTTAAATCAAGAGTGGATGTCAGGGAGGTATCCTCCTAATGCAGAATTTTGTGTGAAGTCTGAGATCTGGGCCTGAGGCTTTCCCAGCGAGTGTACCAGGCAGGCTTGCCCTTGTACTTGCTCATGTGGTCGTCTACCTCTGATCACTCTCAGAGCCACCTGTGAAATAAAGTGGTTGAGATGGTGTGTGAACAGCCAGTTTTATGTTTCATGGGATTGTCAATAGGATCATTAGCTCAGTTGGGACTCCTGGCTTTGCTTTGGTTCCTTCTTTCTTGGGTGAGAGGTGCTGCCCTCTTATTTATTTATTTATTTTTTTGAGACAGAGTCTGGCTCTGTCATCCAGCCTGGAGTGCAGTGGTGCGATCTCAGCTCTGTGTAACCTGCACCTCCCAGATTCAATCAATTCTCCTATCTCAGCCTCCCGAGTAGCTGGGATTACAGCCTCCTGAGTAGCTGGGATTACAGGCCACCATGCTCGGCTAAGTTTTGTATTTTAAGGAGAGGCGTGATTTTGCTATGTTGGCCATGCCGGTCTTGATCTCCTGACCTCAAGTGATCTGCCCTCCTCTGCCTCCCAAAATGCTGGAATTACAGGCATGAGCCACTGCACCCAGCCTTTTTTTTTTTAAAGACAGGGTCTCACTTGTTGTCCAGGCTGGAGCGCAGTGGCCCTATCATAACTCACTGAAGTCTCTACCTCCTGGGCTCAAGCAGTCCTCCCATCTCAGCCTCCTAAGTAGCTAGGATTACAGGTGTGCATCACCACGACCAGCTAATTTATTTATTTGTAGTGAAAGAGTCTCACTTTGTTGCCCAGCCTGGTCTCAAACTCCTGGCCCCAAGCAGTCTGCCCACCTTGGCCTCTCACAGTGCTGAGATTACAGGAGAGAGCCACTGGGCCTGGCTCACTGCTCCTTCTATCTCTGATGTCTCTTTATCCTTTAGCTCACCAGCTCCTCTGAGAAAAAGAAAGCCTGTTTAAGATTCCCTTTTGTAAGATGACCGTTGTCATTTTTTTCCACGTCGGCACTATTGCCATTTAGGGCATAATTCTTTGCTGTTGGGGTCTTCCCAGTGCACTGTGGGATGTTTAGCAGCCAGCATCCATAGCCTGCATCCATCAGCCCTTCACTCAGTTCTAACAGCCAGAAACATCTCCAGACATTGCCAGGTGTCTCCCTGGGGGAAAAGTGCCCCTGTTGAGAACTGCTTGTATAAATGAACCAGCTCTCCCAACCTCCTCCAGTCCTCACCCCCAGAATTTTAGCAGGGAGTGTCAGAATCTACTGCTGGAAGCACTTGGTAGGTCTCTCCTCTGATGGAAGACATGTTAGAGTGCCCAGTTAGGGATCTGACACTCTGCAGTCAGTTGGAAAGAGAACACTGAAAGGTAACGTGGCAGCAGCTTTTATATTAATTCCATGTGCCAGGTGCCTGTAAATTTTGCTGCTTCTCTGTGCAAGACCCTCTCTACCATCAGCCTGTTGTCTCTGAAAGCCAAGGAGAGTCTCAGTTTGTTTGTTTTTTTGTTTGAGATGGAGTCTTGCTCTGTTACCCAGGCTGGAGTGCAGTGGTGCGATCTCAGCTCACTGCAACCTCTGCTTCCCAGGTTCAAGCGATTCTCCTGCCTCAGCTTCCTGAGTAGCTCGGACAGGCACACACCACCATGCCCGCCTAATTTTTTTGTATTTTTAGTAGAGATGGGGTTTCACCATGTTGGCCAGGCTGGTCTTGAACTCCTGACCTCATGATCCTCCTGCCTCGGCCTCCCAAAGTGCTGGGATTACCGGCATGAGCCACCGTGCCTGGCCGAGTCTCAGTTTTAAAGGGAAGCTTGGAAGTCTGTGGCTGCTGAACTCTGAAGAGCCTTCCATTTCCTGTCTGCAAATGAGCCACCAGATCCAGACATAGGGCTTGTGCCTCAGACCGTAAAAGTCTAAGCAAGACTAAACTCTGGAACAATCATGACTGCGGGTGAAAGCCCAGCTCATTTGCAATGGCAGCATCCATGAGAGCACGCTGTAGAGCCGGAATGCTGTGGAAACACTGGGTGTCATTCCCATCACTCAGAAAGAGCCGGAGTGAAAAGTGAAATGTGCATCCTGCATGTGGAAATGGCCTTGCCCTGCCCGTGGAGTCACTTGTCTTTCAGGGCCAGATCTTGACAGGAGTCACACTGGAGTTGTCTTTGGAGTTGGCTCTTCCTTTAAATAGCTGCGGGGCCCCAATCGTGGAGGGCTGGCAGTCTTGTCTACCCCAGGTGGCTTAGGTGACGATGATGGTGCAGGCCAATTGACGTGGGGAAAGGCGTGAAAAGAACTTTCACTTAGTAGCTGCTCAGCAGGCATTGGTCATCTTGCTGTAGCCTGGGAGAAGTCATTTCCAGGGCTTCCTGTCTTAGCTGCAGAGGTGTGTTCTCTTTGGGGCACCTGGGAGCCCACTTACTTCCAGTTGATAATGATGCACCTGTCACGTTTCCAGCCCTGCTTCCCAGCAGTCTGGGCTGTTTGTATGGCTTCAGGACAGACGCATGAGGGATGTCCCATGTCCACGCCATGACTTGCATGTCTTCAGGAGTCCTTTGAGCTTTTGGCTCCCTGGAGTCCTTTGAGAGGCCATTGTCTGAAAGCTTCACAGGGCTTCCCACACACAAAGGCCCTGGTGATATTCTCTTTTTCTTTTTTCTTTTTTTTTTTTTTTTAAGACTGAATCTTGCTCTGTCACCCAGGCTGGAGTGCAGTGGTGCAATCTTGGCTCACTGCAACCTCCACTTCCTGGGTTCAAGTGATTCTCCTGCCTCAGCCTCCTGAGCAGCTGGAATTACAGGTGCATGCCACCACGCCCAGCTAATTTTTGTGTTTTTAGTAGAGACAGGGTTTCACTGTGTTGGTCAGGCTGGTCTCAAACTCCTGACTTCATGATCCGCCTGCCTCAGCCTCCCAAAGTACTTTTTTTTTTTTAATCGAAATTTTTAAAAATTTTTATTTATTTATTGAGACTGAGTCTCCCTTCTGTCGCCAGGCTGGTGTGCCCGGATTCAAGCGATTCTCCTGCCTCAGCCTCCTGAGTAGCTAGGACTACAGGCATCCACCACCATACCCAGCTAATTTTTTATATTTCTAGTAGAGACGGGGTTTCACAGTGTTAGCCAGGTTGGTCTCAATTTCTTGACCTTGTGATCCACCTGCCTCAGCTTTCCAAAGTGCTGGGATCATAGGTGTGAGGCACCGTGCCCGGCCTAGTTTTTATTTTTTTGAGACACAGTTTTACTCTGTCGCCCAGGCTGGAGTGCAATGGCACGATCTTGGCTCACTGCAGCCTGTACCTTCCAGGTTCAAGTCATACTCCTGCCGCAGCTTCCTGAGTAGCTGTGATTACAGGTACCTGCCACCACACCTGGCTAAATTTTGTATTTTTAGTAGAGACGGGGTTTCACCATGTTGGCCAGGGTGGTCTCGAACCCCTGACCTCAAGTGATCCACCCACCTCAGCGTCCCAAAGTGCTGGGATAACAGGTGTTAGCCTCCGGGCTTGGCCTTTTTTACATTTTTTAAATAGAGACAGGGTTTCACCATGTTGTCCAGGCTGGTCTTGAATTCCTGGACTCAAGTGATCCTCCTGCCTTGGCCTCCCAAAGTGTTGGGGTTACAGGTGTGGCCCACCTTGCCTGGCCAGTATTCTCTCTTAGTTTTCCTAGTTTGACTGTTTTGAAGTATCATTTTTTTTCCATTTTATCACAAGGCCTGCCAGCTATTGACAAGTAGGGAGTGGCCCATACACGCTAAGGACGTGAATAAGAGAGTCCAGTCCTGGCCTCCAGCAGCCTTTGGTGTAGGGTGTCTTAACTTCGGTTTTGGGGGCCAGACTGTTGTTTATGGTGAGGGGCCATCCTGTGCACTGAAGGGTGTTTGAGCAGCCCCCTTGGCCTCCACCCACCAGTTGCTTATGTGATAATCGAAAGTGTCTCTGAGGTTGCCGAGTGTCCCCTGGGGGGCAGAGTTGCTCCGGCTGAGAACATGAGTCTAAAGGGGAGACAGACACAGGCCATGATGTGTGGCCAGTGGCGACTGGGAGAACTTGCCGGAAAGAACGGCCTCTTCCTGGAGCCCCGCCTGGGCCTCCTGAGTCAACATCATTTCTTGTCTGGTAATCCAGGCCTTGGTTGTAACATCGCCTTCACAGAGAGCCCCCCAGTCTCCACCCCGTGTCGTTCTTTCGCCACCCTAGGTTATGGATTTCAAAACGGCTAGGAGAAGTTCAGAATCCATGGTTTATTGTTGGTTTTCCTTTCTGAGTCCTTAAGATGAGGTAGGCCCTTCCACTGTCTTGTTCATGACCGTATCCACCTGCTGGAACATTCCTAGGGAGCAGTGCATGGTGCAAGAATGAGAAACTGGACGCTGGTGGGAATGTGGCCACTCTGAGCTAGTGGGCCTCTTCAGGTCAGACCCCGCCTTGTGGAAGATGACAACTGGCTTGGGCAGAGACAGAGAGAAGCAGCCCCTCTATGTTCAGAGGGAGCCCCCTGGCTACTCTCTGGGGGAGTCCAGCTAGTTGCCAACAAGTCGGATTCTCGGTTTTGTATCTTCGTGGCTCGTGGAGCAGACAGTGACCCCTTTCCCCGAGCCAGGCCCTGGCGTTTACTCAGAGGCTCTGCTCTCAGGGTTCCTGCACAGTCAAGGTGGGGAGTCCCATAAGAAACGCATGGGCAGATGTGGGCTTCTGTGCTGTGGCCGAGGGCAGAGAGAGGAAGGAGCAGGCCAGGGAAGGGTGGGAGGAGGTACTGTGGACAGGGCCTGTTTCAGGGGGGACTGTTCCTGGTGGCGTGTGGTGGCCTGCAGTGAGAGTGAGTGGGTGTGCTTGAGGAATGGCCAAGGAGACCGGCAGGGTCAGGAGCTGAGGGAGAGAAGAGGGAGAAGGAGCTGGGACATGAGAGCCACTAGAGGGATCTGGGAGGCAGTTCTGCTGCTGTGCTGACAATGAGTGGTCAGGAGGCTCTTGGGAGACCAGGGAGGGGCCCCAGGTGGTGGGGGCAGAGTAGACAGTGATGGGGACAGAGGATGGTGATAAGGACTAGGGAGGGGTCCTGAGTGATGGGGACAGAGAGGATGGTGACAAGGACCGAAGAGGGGCCCCGAATGATGGGGACAGAGTGGACAGTGATGGGGACAGAGGATGGTGACAAGGACCAGAGACAGTCCCCAAGTGATGGGAACCAAGTAGACAGTGATGGGGACAGAATGGGTGGTAACAAGGACCCCCCCAGTGATGGGGACGGAGTGAACAGTGATGGAGACAGAGTGAATGGTGACAAGGACCAGAGGGGTTCTTGTGTGATGGGGACAGAATGGACGGTGACAAGGACTGGGGGGTTCCCATGTATTGGGGGTAGAGTGGATGATGCTGTCGATTAGGAGTGGGGGAGGTCAGTGAGAGAAGTCCGGGGTGGTCCGAGGTTGCCTGATTCTCTGGGTAAGCATGGGCTCCTGCTGAGGTGTGCGAGGCTGGGGCAGCTCGGGAGCTGCTCTGTGTCTGTGAGGTGCCTGCCATTTGAGGGTCCATTCAGTACCCAGGTGGGGCTGTGTGTGGATGCTGTGGTGGAGGTGTCAGCCATGCAGGATGGTTTGTCATGGTGCGAGAGGCGTTTGGAACTCTGCCTGATGAGGCCACCCAGGGCACGGGGAGAGAAGGAGTGCCAGAAGGAAGGAGAAAGCTGGGCTTGTGCTGGGTGGTTTAGAGCAGCACAGTTGGCAAATGTCAGCTTGGAGGCCAAAGCCAGCTTGGCTCGGTGTGGTTGGTTATGATTTTTACATTTTCAAAGGATTAAATTTTTAAAAATGTTTTATATTGTGATACTGTTGACATAACATGAAATCCATCATCATTTTAAAGCGTTACTGTATTCACGATACTGTGCAGCCATCACCACTAATTCCAGAGCACTAACATCACCTCAAGATCAAACCTTGAACCTTTGAAATCTCCACTGCCCCCAGCCCCTGGCAACCATGAGTCTGCTTCCTATGTCTATGGATTTGCCTGTTCTGGCCCTTTCATGTCAGTGGGGTCATACACTGTGTGGCTCTTGGTGTCTGGCTTCTCACTCACATCGTGTTTTCCGGTGTTGTTCACATCGGAGCGGGTATCAGGGCTTCCTTGCTGAAGACTGAATTATCCTCCGCTGTATGGAGGGACCACATTTCATGTGTCCATTTGTCTATTGATGGATGTTTGGGCTATTTCCACCTTTTTTGGCTGTTGTGTGTAGTGCTGCTACATTGATATGTGAGGATGCGTCGGAACACCTGCTTCCTTTCTTTTTTTTTTTCCTAGACAGTCTCACTCTTGCCCAGACTGGAGTGCAGCGGCATGATCTCAGCTTACTGCAACCTCCACCACCCAGGTTCAAGCGATTCTCCTGCCTCAGCCTCCCGAGTAGCTGGGACTACAGGCCCCCGCTACAACGCCAGGCTCATTTTTTGTATGTTTAGTAGAGACGGGGTTTCACCATGTTGGCCAGGCGGGTCTCGAACTCCTGACCTTGTGATTCACCTGCCTCAGCCTCCCAAAGTGCTGGGATTACAGGCATGAGCCACCATGCCTGCTTGCGGCCTTTGTTTTTTATTCTTTTGAGTTGAGGTGTCACTCTAGTTGCCCAGGCTAGAGTGCAGTGGTGCACTGTTGGCTCACTGCAGCCTCTGCCTCCTGGGTTCAAGCAGTTCTTCCTGGGCTTCCCAAGTAGCTGGGACTATAGGCACATACCACCACACCCAGCTAATTTTTGTATTTTTAGTGGTGAGGGGGTTTCACCATGTTGGCCAGGCTGGTCTTAAACTCCTGACTTCAAGTGATCAGTCCACCTCAACCTCCCAGAGTGCTAGAATTACGGGCATGAGCCACTGTGTCTGGCCTGAGCACCTGTTTTCTTTTTCTTTTTTTTTTTTTGAGACAGAATTTCGCTTTTGTTGCCCAGGCTGTAGTACAGTGGTGTGATCTTGGTTCACTGCAACCTCCGCCTCCCAGGTTCAAGCAATTCTGCCTCAGCCTCCCGAGTAGCTGGGATAACAGGCGTGCACTACCACGGCCAGCTAATTTTTTGTATTTTTAGTAGGGGCGGGGTTTCTACATGTTGGTCAGGCTGGTTTTGAACTCCTAACCTCAGGTGATTTGCCTGCCTCAACTTCCCAAAGTGCTGGGATTACAGGTGTGAGTTACCACGCCTGGCTTGTTTTCAGTTCTCTTGGGTATACACCTGGGGGCGGGATTACCAGCTCATATGGTAATCATAATTCTGTGGTCAACCCATTGAGGGAACTGCTATTCTGTCTCCTATAGTGGCTGCAGCATCCCATCTGGCTCTTTTTTGCCAAGCTTTGGTCTAGAGTGTGTTTCCCCATCTTGTCACAGTGGCTCACTTTAGGGGATCAGAGGGTATACGCAGAGCTTGGAAATGCCTCTTTGGAGTGGTGGGGGGCTCTCAGTGAGCTTACAGCTTCCTGCCTCTGAAACAGACCTTGGCTTCAGGCTGCTTCCCCACATACCCACACTCTGCTCATTCTGACCCCTTCCTCTGTGAAACCTGTGCACCGTGGAGAAACAGAGCAGCACCGTGAGCCTGAGCAGAGAGAACCATCACAAACATCCCAAGAATCTTAGAACATATTCCGCCACGTACTGGGTGCAGTGGCTTATGCCTGTAAATCTCAGCACTTTGGGAGGCCGAGGTGGGAGGATCACTTGAGGTCAGGAGTTCAAGACCAGCCTGGCCAACATGGTGAAACCCCATCTCTACTAAAAATACAAAAAGGAGCCAGGTGTGGTCCTGTGGCACTTGTGATCCCAAAGGCTGAGGCAGGAGAATTGCTTGAACCTGGGAGGCGGTGGTTGCAGTGAGCCGGCATCGCACCACTGCACTCCAGCCTGAGAGGCAGAGCCAGAGTCCATCTCAAAACAAAAAGAACAAATCCGCCACCAAGGAGAAAGGGTTTTAGAGTCGCAGCTCTTCTGCGTCTTGTGTTTCTGCTTTTTCAGCTGAGACTTTCTAGAGTTGTCTCTGTACCCATTGTTCTGGACAGAATTGTGTTATCCCCACCCCAGATTCATGTGTTTTAGCTCTAGCCCCCAACACCTCAGAATGTGACTGTATTTGGAGAGGGAGCCTTTGAAGAGGCTGAATCATCCTTTGAAGAGGTGATTAAGTAAAACGAGGCGGTTAGGGTGGGCCTTAATGCAGTGTGATGGGTGTGCTTATGAGGAGTGGCGACTGGGACAGACATCAGGGACCTGCATGCACAGAGAGATGACCACATGAGGACACAGCGAGACAGTAGCCATCTGCAAGCCAAGGAGAGAGGCCGCAGAGGACACCAAACCTCCTGGCACCTTCACCTTGGCCTCCTGGCCTCCAGAACGGAGCAATACCAACTTCCATTGTTTGACACAGTCTGGGGTACCTTGTTGTGGCGACTGCCAGATGCACTCATCCCGCTGACAGTGCCTGTGCTCAGCAGAGGTGCCTGTTTCAGTATAGGACGGCAGTTGTGTGCCTGGCCTTGCCTAGTCCAGTAGATTCTCAGGGTCAGTGTTTGGGTCACGTGCAGTGTTGGGCACTGCAGGGCAGCAGAAGCAGTGAAGTCTGTGTGTCCCTTCATCCGTTCACCTGACCATCCCCAACAGCAGGTGCAGCCCACTCTGTTCTCACACTGTTCCAGGCTCTGGGGGTACAGCCCTGATCAAAATCCCCACCCTCGTGGAATCCAGCCAGGACTGACGAATAATAAAATGAGTAAAATACACGTTATCCATAAGGTGGCAACAGGTGGCACAGAGAAGCACATGGGAGTGCCGGGAGATGGCACCATTTCACTTTGGTGAAAGAGGGTTCTGTGGGACTCACCAAGCAGGGGTTATCCAAGCAGAAACCTCAGCCAGGCTGGAGGAATCCTGACTGACTAGCGACCCAGCCCTCGTGTGCCGGGATGGTGCAGCATCATTCTGCTTTAGAAACAACAGCTCCTGCTTTGGGTTGGGGGCGTGGTCATGGCCCTCCGCAACCTGGGAGGGAGGCAACTTTGTTTCTCTTTTGGCTCATATGGGCTGAAAAGTACATGCATAGAGGGCATTCTTGGTGGGTGTTCAGGGCCTGTCTTTTCTCTCAAGTGACTGATGCACCTCGTTGCAATTTGCCTGGGGCTTAGCACCAAAAATGTCACATCCCAGGAATCCCTGAAGTCCCCAGCAACCTGGAAGGTGGGTCGCCTCTAACGTCCAGTGTCCCTACCTTATGCATCCTACTGTGGCATCACTGCTGGCAGCACGCGCTCTTCCACGTGAAAGCAATCTTGCTGAAACAGATTGCGGAAGGCGGGGGAGACTTTTCTTACACACAGCCCAGCACTTGGCGCTGCAGAGGCTTAAACATCCACTTTGTACATTTCTCCTGAATGTCAAGTTTTCAAAATGGAAGGTGCTCCTTGAACTTGGCATGTTCTTTGAGTGGACTGGTAGGGATGAGGCGGAGGTGAGCTGGGGAGACTCACCTGTGTGCCCCGCCCTGTTTGCCTTCAGGCCCTCAGAAATAACCTTTCCCTGTCTCTAATAAAACTTGGTTCCATGCTGAGTTTTTTCTGTGCTTGTGCAGTGGCTGGGACTGGTGTTTTTCAGTTTGTTCCCAGTGTTGGGCCTGGCAGTAACTCACTGTCACCTTGTCAGGAGAATTCACACAACCACGGGGACTGTGCAGAGGACTTCAAGCAGCAGGTGCCGTATAAGGAGGACAAACCCCAGGTGCCCCTGGAGTCCGATTCCGTGGAGTTTAACAACGCCATCAGCTACGTGAATAAGATTAAGACCCGCTTCCTAGACCACCCGGAAATCTACAGGTCGTTCCTGGAGATCCTGCACACGTACCAGGTGAGGACTCAGGTTATAATTCCTTGTGGGTTGTGTGGTTTCATCCAGTGTGGGGGCCCTGCAGATACTCAGATTTGCCTGTTGGAATTGATAAAATCCTGTAAAATTCCACTTAGAGGTGGGGTTTTTTGTTTGTTTTTTCTTGAGACAGAGTTGGTTCTGTTGCACAGGCTGGAGTGCAGTGGCATGGTCTCAGCTCACTGCCGCCTCCACCTCCTGGGCTCAAGCCATCCTCCAACCTCAGCCTCCCAAGTAGTGGAGGCTATTTGGGGCTAGAATATGGGCATGCATCACCACACCTGGCTAATTTTTGTATTTTTTGTAGAGACAGGGTTTTGCCATGTTGCCCATGCTGGTCTCAAACTCCTGAACTCAAGTAATCCATCCACCTCAGTCTGTCAAAGTGCTGGAATGACAGGAGCCTCCAGCTGGGTTTTTTGCATTATTGTTTTTTTTTTTTACTGTGGTAAAGTACACATAACAAAATTTACCATTTTCACCATTTTTAAGTGTGCAGTTCTGTGGCATTAAGTACATTCAAATTGTTCTGTAACCATTGCCACCATCCACCTTCAGAACTGTGTGAAACTGAAGCTCTGTCCCCATTAAACACTTACTATCCCCCATCCCCCCAGCCCCTGGCACCCACCTTTCTGCTTTCTGTCTCTATGGATGTGATGATTCTAGGGACTTCCCATAAGTATTTGTCTTTTTGTGACGGACTCATTTCACTTAGCATAATGTCCTCAGGGTTCATCTGTGTTGTACCATGAGTCAGAACTTCTTTCCTTTTTAAGGCTAAATAATATTTCAGCAAATGAATGGACTATATTTTGTTTATCTGTTCATCTGTCAGTGGACATGGGGCTGCTTCCAGCTTTTGGCTGTTGGAAATAGTGCTGCAGTGAACATGCATGCACAAATAGCCATTGGAGATCTGTTTTGATTTGATTTTTTTTTTTTTTTTTTTTTTTTTTTGAGACAGGGTCTCACTCTCACACAGGCAAGAGTGCAGTGGTGCGATCACGGCTCGCTGCAACCTCAACTTTGCAGAATCAAGCAATCCTCCCACCTCAGCCTCCCGAGTAGTTGGGATTACAGGCGTGAGCCACCATGCCTGGCCTTGCCTTCTGTGTTTGAGAGCACTTGTTCCCCACATCCTCCTCAGAAATCAGCCTCTTCTGTCTGCATAGTCAGATGAGCAGAAAATGGCTGTGGCGCTGTTTCAAATTGTATTCTTTAAATATCAGTCAGTTTGGTGATTATGTTCCTCTTTATTTGTTTTAGATAGGGTCTCGCTCTGTTGCCCAGGCTGGAAATATGCACGGTCACAATTGTAGCCCACTGCAGCTTTGAACTTCTGGGCTTAAGCAATCCTCTTGCCTCAGCCTCCCAAGTAACTAGGACCATAGGAGTGTGTCACCATGCCTAGATAATGTTTAACATTTTTTGTATCACTCCTCAGCCTTTTGGCTAAGATCAAGTGTAAAATTTTTTGTGGAGATAGAGTCTCACTATGTTGCCCAGGCTGGTCTTGAACTCCTGGACTCAAGCCATTATCCTGCCTTGGCCTCCCAAAGTGCTGGGATTGCAAGCATGAGCCATCATGGCCAGCCTAAATTGTGTTTCTTTGAACTTCAGTCAATTTGGTCATTGTTCCGTCTGTATGCAGATAGATCATTTATTATCTGAACTGAGTGGGTTTTGCTTATTTTAAAATTTTGCTTTTAAATGACTTTTGGTGACATATTGGAAGGGTGGTGTTTTTTTCCTCTGCGGTGTAGATACCACCGGTCCCAAGATTTAAAACTTGCTTCCTTTCCCACAGGCTGCAGTGGGCCCAGCGGGGAGGGACTCCTGCTTTGCAGCTATGGAGCTGGGACTGTGGAGGCCATTCCATATTGTCCTAGAGGCTCCGGCCCCACTGCCTCTTGTTCTGTGAAAATTGACAAGGTGTCAATTGTCTTGGTTGTAAATTTCTGGGGTGTAATTGACAAGGTGTCAGTTTTCTTGGGTGTAAATTTCTGGGGTGTAATTGACAAGGCATCAGTTTTCTTGGGTGTAAAATTGACAAGAACATATTTCTAACAGCCACCTTCTTTTTACTGGCCCATTTCTGCCTTCCAACCTGGGTTCCCTTTGGTCCTCTTGTTGCTTCAAGCTCTGGATCAGTCCATTTTCCTTGGGTCTCAGTGACTCCGGGCCAATAGGTGCCTTGGCCTGGAAGTCCCTTTCCTTCATGGCCCAGTGCCCCAGTTCCACACTCCCCATTTCCCTTGGGAAGTCCTGGAGTTTGCCCCTTACCTTGCATTTCCCCAGCCCACCCTGATTCCGGCCAGCCTCCCACCTCCCTGACCCCTCTGCTCGTGGACACTGCTAGGTGTCCCTCCTCGAGTCCCTCCCATACTCCTGCCCATGGCTGGGGCTCAGGCTGTGCCAGGCATTGAGATCCACATGAGCAGACAGTACTGTGGGCCCCGCCAGCAGGTGCTCTTTCTGAGAGTCATCCCGTCTCCTCCACGGAGGGCTGCCTGAGTGTCCCAGCCCAGGGCACGGTGCTCCTTGGCTAACGACTTGTTTTCCCTTTCCTTAAAACTGGCAGAAGGAGCAGCTGAACACGAGGGGCCGGCCGTTCCGAGGCATGTCCGAAGAGGAGGTGTTCACCGAGGTGGCCAACCTCTTCCGGGGTCAGGAGGACCTGCTCTCAGAGTTTGGACAGTTCCTGCCCGAAGCCAAGCGATCTCTAGTGAGTACAGAGAGCCCCTACCCAGCCCTGGGGTCCTCAGTGAGGAGACAGGGCCCCGGCTAGCTCAACCCTGGGCTGGACCAGGCCCTACCACCCTCCAGGCCATATTAGGGTCCCTCAGAAGCTATGCAGGGTACAGGCACCCAGGGGTTCCTCATTGTAGGCTCCACCTGCACAGCAAGCTCGGAAACGATTTGCCAAAGTGCTTCTCTGTACAGACAGTACCCGGGTCTCAGGGTGGTTTGGGAGGCAGAGAGCTCAATGGAGACAGTGGGTCCAGAGTTTCCACCTCCTGCCTGCCCTGCAGAGCCTCGCCCTGCCTGGGACCCCAGCCCTGTGGGAAGGTACAGGAGGGCTTGAGTCCACCACCATCGCTTCCCCTGTTGGATGAGACTGATCTGGGGCTCCAGCAGGTTGGATCTGGATGGGGGTGGCCTGTGGCCTGGCCCTGACGGTGGCTGGTAGAGAGCAGAGATGAGTGAGGAGGGGCCTTAGACAGGGAGGGAGGTTCAGGGCTCAAACTGCATTGTCAACCTTTCTGCTCTGCCTATGACCTGAAGCTGCCAGGGCCACCTGTTTCAATTCTGTTTTTTCCTCTGTAAACATAAGACTTTCTTTTTTATTTTGAGACGGAGTTTCGCTCTTGTTACCCAGGCTGCAGTGCAATGGCGCGATCTCAGCTCACCACAACCTCCACCTCCTGGGTTCAGGCAATTCTCCTGCCTCAGCCTCCTGAGTAGCTGGGATTACAGGCACGCGCCACTATGCCCAGCTAATTTTTTGTATTTTTAGTAGAGACGGGGTTTCACCATGTTGACCAGGCTGGTCTCAATCTCTCGACCTTGTGATTCACCCGCCTTGGCCTCCCAAAATGCTAGGATTACAGGCATGAGCCACCGCGCCTGGCAACATAAGACTTTCTTAAAAATTGAACTGAAATTTATGAAACAGAATTCAGCATTGAAAGTGAACAATTCCCTGGCATTTGATACATCCTCAGTATTGTACAACCTTCACCACTACCTAGTTATAGAACATTTTCATCCCCCTGAAAGGAGACCCCTTCCCCCTCAGCAGCCACTCCCCACTCCCCTCCCCCAGCTCCTGGCAACCACCCATCTGCTTCCTGTTTGTGTGATTTGATTTGCCCGTTCTGAACATATCAGATCAGCGGAATCTCAAAGTATGTGGCCTTTGTGTCTTGCTTCTCTCAGTCAGCATCATGTTTTCAAGGCCTCACATGTACCATGGATCAGTGCTCGTTCCTTTTTCTGGCTGAATCTTAATTCTGTTAAGATGGACCACATTCTGTTGATCCACGTTCTCTTGGTGGACATTTGGGTTGTTCTGCCTTTTGGCTATTCTGATCAGTGCTGCTGTCAACATTGATTCCAAGGATTTGTTTGAACACCTGTTTTCAGTTCTTTTGCATAGACACCTAGGAGTGGAATTGCTGGGTCACTCGGTAATTCTGTGTTTAACTTTTTGAAGAGCTTCCAAACTGTTTTCCATGGTGACTGCACCATTTTATGTCCCCAACAGCAACGTACTGCGGGTTCTGTTTCTCCGCATCTTGGCCAACATTTGTTATTTTCCAGGTTTTGGGGTGTTTTTTTTTGCCTTTTTTTTTTTTTAAGTAACCATCAGTATGTGAAGTGTTATTCCATTAAGGTTTGTTTTTATTTTTTGAGACAAGCTCTCTCTCTCTCTCACCCAGGCTGGAGTGCAGTGGCACGCTTGATCACTGTTCACTGCAGTCTCCATCTCCCAGGCTCAGGTAATCCTCCCACCTCAGCCTCTGAGTAGCTGAGATTACAGGCAGCACCATGATGGCTGGCCAGTTTTTGTATTTTTTGTAGAGACAGGGTTTTGCCATGTTGCCCAGGCTGGTCTCAAACTCCTGACCTCAAGCGACCACCTGCCTCAGTCTCCCAAAGTGCTGGGATTCCAGGCATGAGCCACTGTGCCCAGCTGTGTTGTGGTCTGGATTTGCATTTCCCTTATGACAGATGATGTTGAGCATCCATATGTATTTTGACTGTTTGTCCATCTTCTTTGGAGAAATGTTTATTCACATCCTTTGCCAATTTTTTAAATTTGTCTTTTTATTGTTGAGTTGTAAGAGTTCTTTATATATTCTGATGCTAGACCCTTATGAGACCTATGATTTGCAAATATTTTCCTCCATTCTGTAGGCTGTCTTTTTACTTTTGTATTAGTGTCTTTGATGCACACCAGTTTTTAATTTTGATGAAGCCCAGTTTACCTGTTTTTTCCTTAATGTCATGCATGTTTTTAATGTCAAATGTAAGAAATCATCATCAACGGCATGATGGTTTCCCATCATCTTCTCTTCTAATTGTTTTATAGTTTTGACTCTTATATTTATGGCATTGACCTATTTTAATTTTTGCATATGGTGTGAGGTAGGAGTCCAACTTTATTCTTTTGCATGTGGAAATCCAGTTGTCCCAGCATCATTTGTTGAAGAAATCGTTTTTCCCCACTGAATGGTCTTGGCACTCCTGTTGAAAACCCATTGACTATAGTTGTATGATGTTATTTTGGAATTCTTAATTATGATCCACTGGACTGTGTGTCTATTAGTATGCCAGTACCACACTGTTTTGATTACTATAGCTGTGTAGTAAGGTCAAAATCAGGAAGTGTGAAACCTCCAACTTTGTTCTTCTTTTTCAAGATTGTTTTGACATTCAGAGCCCCTTGCAGTTCCATATGAATTTGAAGATCAGCTTATCCATTTCTACAGAAAAGGCCATTGTGGTTTTGATAGGGATTGCATTGACTCTTAGATCACCTTGGGTAAATATTGCCATTTTAACATTGTTAAGTTTTTTAATCCATGAACACATGAAAAACTTGCCATTTATTTATGTTATCTTTCATTTCTTTTAGCAGTGCTTTGTAGTTTTTAGTGGACAAGTCTTGCATTGCCTTGTTCAAATTTATTCCAATGCATTTAATTTTTGCTGATGCCATTGTAAATGGAATTGTTTTCTTTTTTTTTGAGACGGAGTCTTGTTCTGTTGCCAGGCTGGAATGCAGTGGCACTTGCAATTCTCCTGCCTCAGCCTCCCGCATAGCTGGGATTACAGGGGCCTGCCACCATGCCTGGCTAATTTTTTGTATTTTTTAGTAGATATGGGGTTTCACTATGTTGGCCAGGCTGGTCTTGAACTCCTGATCTGCCCACCTCGGCCTCCCAAAGTTCTGGGATTACAGGTGTGAGCCACTGCACCTGGCCTTTTTGACTTTTTTTTTGGAGAGTCTCACCCAGTCACCCAGGCTGGAGTGCAGTGATATGATCTTGGCTCACTGCAACCTCCATCTCCTGGGTTCAAGCAATTCTCCTGCCTCAGCCTCCCAAATAGCTGGGATTACAGGCATGCACTACCACACCCAGCTAATCTTTGTGTTTTTAGTCAAGATGGGGTTTCACTATGTTGGCCAGGCTGGTCTCGAACTCCTGACCTCAGGTGATCCACCCACCTTAGCCTCCCAAAGTTCTAGGATTACAGGCGTGAGCCACCTGACCCGGCAAACATCAGGGAATCTTTTCTTTCCAATGCAGATACTCTTCATTACTTCTTCTTGTCTTATTGTTCTAACAAGGACTTCCAATCCTGTGTTGAATGGAGAATGGTGAAAGCAGGCAGCTTACCTTGTTCCTGATCATGAAGGAAAATCTTTCAGTCCCTAACCTACAAGGGGTGTGTGTGTGTGTGTGTGTGTGTGTGTGTGTGTGAGATGGAGATTTGCTCTTGTTGCCCAGGCTGGAGTGCAATGGCATGATCTTGGCTCACCGCAACTCCTGTCTCCTGGGTTCGAGCAGTTCTCCTGCCTCAGCCTCCCAAGTAGCTGGGATTTCAGGCCTGCGCCACCATGCATGGCTAATTTTGTATTTTTTAGTAGAGATGGGGTTTCTCCGTGTTAGTCAGGCTGGTCTCAAGGTCCCGACCTCAGGTGATTCGCCTGCCTCGGCCTCCCAAAGTGCTGGGATTACAGGTGTGAGCCACCGCGCCTGGCCCAGCCCTTCACCTTAGAGTGTGATGCCAGCTCTGTTTTTTTCCTAACTGCTTTATTAGGCTAAAGAAGTTCTCTTCTGTTTCTAGCTTGTGAATGTTCCATTTCCTCTTTTCTTCTTCCCCTTGGTCCTTGATGACACATCAAGATGAGAGGTTCCCCGCCACCACTTCCATTTCTCACCACTCCTCTCCTGGGTCCTGGCTCTGAATGGATGAAGTGGAGCGGGTAGGGCGGGGGAAGCAGGTCTTGAAGGGAAGAGCTCAGGCACCAGCAGGGGTCTAGGTGTGGACGTGATCTAGACCCTTGGTTGAGTCCGGCGCACTTCCAGTATATTTTCTTGGGTTTTCCTCCGTGCTCTCCAAACCCTGTCCTTCCCTTGTCCTTGGCCAGAGTCTCTCCAGTTTATCTAGGCCAATGGGTGGGGCTTGTCCCCATGAGTTACTGTCTCTAGGGGATGAGCACCCCCTCAAAGCAAGGATGCCACCCAGAAACACTTCCTAACTCGAAGTTACAGGGACTGCATGCTGCTCTGTGAGGGTCAAGTCTGGGAGCCTTACCCTGACCTTCCCTCCTGCCTGGGGCCTGGGCCAAGCTTGTAGGCGTAGTACATATACCCGGGCCGTAGAGGCAGAAGGGTTGTGCCACCTCCTGGGCCTGGTTTCCTTCTCTCTCACACAGGAGCGACCCTCCCTCCTGCTCAGGTGGGGACCCCACAAGCTCTTGTCTTTCAGGTGCTCAGAGCACTGGAAAGGACAGCTGCATTTGTGCAAGAGCGAGATCATCCCCACCCTATGTCCCCAGAGCCAGCTCACTGCCTGGCCTGGGGGAGGGTCAAATAGAACCTGCACCTGGAATTCCTCCTTTGATGGGGAGCTTACCTCTATCACAGGCCTCTGCCCTGAGCCGCCTCCTTGGGAACCCCCTCGTGTTATCTTCTCCGATTCCACTGTCCCCCTGGTGTCTCTCTGAAGTTCAAAATCTCTACTTGGTTTTCTCTTGGAAATTCTGGCATCACTCCCCCTTCCTGCTTGTTAGAGACTCCCTAATTTTGGAGCCCTGTGACCACTCGAATCAGAGGGGTGTCTTCCTCTCTCCTGCTTCACACCCTTCTGGTGTTGACAAGGCTCCAGGAGTGGGCACTCAGGCCTCCAAGCCCCCAGCGGTTGGAGCTGACTGCTGTCGCTTGTGCTGTGACGCGTGTCTTCCTCCTTGTCTGCTTGCGGACTGTCTGTGGGTCTCATTCTCTAGTACCTGGGTCTCACACTCAACTGTCACCTCCCTGTTGGCAGCTCTTCTCCCACATGCCCGTCCCCACTGGGAGATGGGCTCCAGTGGTGTCCCTAGCCGGATTCCTTGAGCCATTGCTGACAGTGTAGAGTGGCCAAGGGTGGGGACAGTTTAGCCTTCCTGGCCTCAGGGAAAGCCTGGCTGAGGCCTGGGCAAGCTTTTGCTGCCCTGGTGAAGGGTACTCCAAGCCACTCTGGATTGACACAGGAGGTTGGGGTGTAGCGCCCGGAACAGCGGGAGCCTGGCAGGTCACTTCCCAGAGCCTCAACTTCCTCATCTAGGAGTGACCATGAGGAGGATGTCCCCTGGCTCGTGTGGTTGGAAGATTTCCCAGGGAAGCATCTGGCTAGGATGACCTGGGCTCTAACACACTGACAAGACTGCACAAAAGAACCAGCTCTGAGACCCTTGCTCTGGGGATCTGTACCATGGGGAACCCCCTCTGCCAGCACTGTGGGGGCTATACCCAGCAGACATGTGGTGACTCATTGAACTGGCAGCCTGCAGCTACTTGCCCAAAGTCTTTGGAGTTCTGCGGCCTGGGTGACCTTGGTTCTGTGGGCTTTCATCTAGTGGTCATTCTTCAAGCACTGCGAAGTCTGGTCCTTTTGGGGGACACTGATTGGAGACTGGTCCTCTGATGGCTGCTACTGCAGCGCCCCCTGGTGGCATTTATGAAGCCAGTCCCTGACAAAGCTCGCCCTGGGAAAATAAGCATTTCCCACTGAAAAGTGCCTGCCAGCAGTTTCTTTAGTATTCTTATTAGATATATTTTTTTAACATGCTGTGGACTACTTGTTTGTGTCTCTATTATTATTTTGTTTTGTTTTGTTTGTTTTTAGAGACAAGGCCTCACTCTGTCACCCAGGCTGGAGTGCAGTGGTGTAATCTTGGCTCACTGCAGCCTCAACCTCCTGGACTCAAGTGATCCTCCTGCCTCAGCCTCCAAAGTAGCTGGGACTACAGGTGCATGCCACCATGCCTGGCTAGCTTTTATCTTTTAATTGTAGAGACAGGGTCTCACAGTGTTGCCCAGGTTGGTCTCAGACTCAAGCCATCCTCCCACCTTGACCTCCCAGAGTGTTAGGATTACAGGCATGTGCCATCATGCCCAGTCCATGATTTCTTTTCTTTTTTCTTTTTTTTTTTGAGACGGAGTTTCGCTCGTTACCCAGGCTGGAGTGCAATGGCGTGATCTTGGCTCACCACAACCTCTGCCCCCTGGGTTCAGGCAATTCTCCTGCCTCAGCCTTCTGAGTAGCTGGGATTACAGGGACGCACCACCATGCCCAGCTAATTTTTTGTATTTTTAGTAGAGACGGGGTTTCACCATGTTGACCAGGATGGTCTCGATCTCTTGACCTCGTGATCCACCTGCCTCGGCCTCCCAAAGTGCTAGGATTACAGGCTTGAGCCACCGCACCCGGCCCATGATTTCTTGAAGTGGCATTTATGCAGGTGCCCGGCTAGTTCAGTCAGTAGAGCATGAGACTCTTAAATAACATTTGTTGTCAATTTAGCTAAGGTTTTTAGTGTGTATTGGGTTATTAGAGCCATCTTGTACATTTAGAAAGATAGGATCAACTTTTTAAAATTATTAAAAGCACCCACTGCAGCATCTGTTGTGTGAAGTACATATTTGTGTTAACTTTTAGACATACATTAAAACTGTAAGAAAAGGAAACCACAGATGACATTTGGCATTGCCCTAATCAGACTTGACTGGCCTGGATCCGAGCTTGGCAAACCTTTCCTACAAAGGGCCAAATAGTAAATATCTCAGGCTTTGCAGGCCAGTTCATCTCTGTGTAAAGACTCACCTCTGCCCTGTAGCTTGAAAGCAGTCATGGAATATATATGTCCGTGACTGGGCAGGGCTGTGTCCCAATAAAACTTTACTTACAAAATGAGTGGGTGTGGCAGGGTGCCAACAAAACTTTATTTACAAAATGGATGGGTGGCCGGGCACTGTGGCTCATGCCTGTAATCCCAGCACTTTGGGAGGCTAATGCGGGTAGATCACCTGAGGTCAGGAGTCTGAGAACAGCCTGGACAACATGGGGAAACACCGTCTCTACTAAAAATACAAAAAATTAGCGGGGCTTGGTGGTGCTCGCCTGTAATCCCAGATACTCCGGAGGCTGAGGCAGGAGAATTGCTTGAACCCAGGAGGCAGAGGTTGTTGTGAGCTGAGGTTGTGCCACTGCACTCCAGCCCAGGCAACAGGAGCAGGAGCAAAACTCTGCCTCAAAAAAAAAAAAATAATGGAACGGGCGTGACCAGGTACCAGTAACTCTTTACACAATGAAAGTGTGTGTGGCTAGATGCTGATAAAATTTTATTTACAAAAACAGGGCCTATGTTAATTTGCCATTCCCACGCCTAGGTGGTCTTTGGGGGGTGTCCGTCTAGCTCAGATGTTCACAAATTGGGACATTTGTGAACTGAAAAGCAAGAACCATGTGAACCATTGGGGAAGATCCGCTATACCAGCTTGGTGAGCTTGGGTTTCCCCTCCAGGTCCCCCATTCCCGTTCAGCACCTGTCATATGGTCACCCAGCTGCATCTTTTGGGAGTCAATTTGCACCTGTTCCAGCATATACAAAAAATACAAAAATTAGCCAGGCTTGGCAGCTCATGCCTATAATCCCCAATATTCTGGAGGCTGAGGCAGGAGATAGCTTGAACCCGTGAGGCGGAGGTTGCAGTGAGCCGAGATTGTGCCATCGCACTCCAGCCTGCGTGACGGCAGACTCCATCTCAAAAAGAAAATAAAGAAGAATCAGTGGAGAATTGTTGTGTAGATGCCAGTTTCTCCACTTATAGCTCTCGAGATAGGCTTGGGTCTTTGGGTAATTATTCCCCAAATAAGTTGAATTCCTGTAAGTCTTACCTGTGGCTAAATAATAAGTCTTTATTTTGTTGTTGTTGTTGGTTTTTTCTTTTTTTGAGACAGAGTTTTGCTCTATCGCTCAGGCTGGAATGCAGTGGCACAGTCTTGGCTCAGTGCAATCTCTGCTGCTCATATTCAAGCGATTCTCCTGCCCCAGCCTCACGAGTAGCTGGGATTACAGGTGTACACTACCACGCCTGGCGAATTTTTGTATTTTTAGTAGAGACAGGATTTTACCATGTTGGTCAGGCTGGTCTTAAACTCCTGACCTCATGATCCGCCTGCCTCAGCCTCCCAAAGCTCTGGGATTGCAGGCGCGAGCCACCACATCTAGCCTGATAAGTCTTTATTATTATTATTATTGTAAAAATAGTATGTTTTAATGTACTAATGCTAACTATTAGCAAGAGTATCAAATTTTTTTTTTTGAGATGGAGTGTCGCTCTTGTTGTCCAAGCTGGAGTGCAACGGTGCAATCTCGGCTCACCGCAACCTCTGCTTCCCAGGTTCAAGTGATTTCCCTGCCTCAGCCTCCTGAGCAGCTAGGATTACAGGCGCCCACCACCACGCCTGGCTAAGTTTTGTATTTTTAGTAGAGACGGGGTTTCACTGTGTTGGTCAGGCAAGTTTCGAACTCCTGACCTCAGGCCATCCACCCACCTCGGCCTCCCAAAGTGCTGGGATTACAGGCATGAGCCACCGATTCTAAGTGTCCTGTATCTTTCCAGAAATTTCCTCTGCATATGCAACAGATACTTTTTAGAAAGTAACACACCCCAGCATCCTGTGTGTTCTGCCCCTTTTTTGGGCTTTTTCTTCCCCTTGGTTTTTTCATTTTGTTTTGTTTTTCAGGTATGCCTGTTCCTAGCAGCAGCTCAGAGCCAGCTCATGGTATCTGATGGCTGCTGGCTGTTTTGTTCAGATACGCCACGACTTGTCCACCTGACTCACACTTTAGGCCTTTGGGTGTGTCTTTGCATCCTGGTCCTGTGGTGGCATGGGAAGGGGGAGGCCTCTCCAGCCCTGCCCACATCCTGCAAAGCTGTGGTCTGTCCATCCTCTCCTGCCTGTCCAGCTTTCCAGTATGTTCATATAGACCGAAATCCTGAATAGATTGTTCCAGAACAATTCTTGATAAATGTCACTGGCACCCTGTAGGTGCCCTGCTCGGGATGAGCATCCCCGTTAGTTGATGGCTGGCGTAGCACCTGGGAGGCAGGCCCCGAACCAGCCACGAGTCCCACTCCACTCCCAGCAAGTGATGACATCGTCCCCCAGAAATGTTTTGTTAATCATACAAAAGACTTCAAAATCTGACTTCAAGGCCCCCACCAGTGCCCTGGCGAATGTGAGCTACTTCCCCTCTCTGCCTGTTTCTCTGTCTACTGCGCCTTCTGTTTCTGTGGCGTTTGCATGTACACAGCAAGACGCCCCACCGGTGGCCTGTCACATGAGCCCTGGCACAGGAAGACCCGACTCAGGTGTCTCCCTCCTAAAACCCCCACCCCACTCCCGCCCTTATCCATAAAGGCCTCACAGGGGCCTCCTCCGGCCTGGCACTGTTAGTCTGATGATTCTGTTACCTTGGAACTGAGCGTTTTGCTGCAGTCACCTCACAGACAGAGCCTCTGGCCACCAGTGCCCAACAGGCTGTGGGCTGAGCTGGAAACAGCTCTCGGTGCTCAGATGCCCGGGCCTGGCTGTGTCTCTGGCACTGACCGCCTCCCGTGTGCTCTCAGTTCACAGGAAACGGGCCGTGCGAGATGCACAGCGTGCAGAAGAGCGAGCACGACAAGACTCTCGAGCACAGCAGGAAGCGCTCCCGGCCCTCGCTGCTCCGCCCCGTGTCTGCGCCCGCCAAGGTACCCGTCAGCCACGTGTGGCCGTTCCCGCACCCAGGGGCCCTAGCAAACCGGGCCTTCCTGGCAGGTGACCAGGGAACAGAGGCCCAAGCAGCGGTTCGGGGCTGGACCTGGGGCTGGGTGAGGTTAACCAGTGGCAGGACCTTTGCAAGTTGGGTCTCCTCTAAGGTGGCTGTTCATCCGTTCTCCCTGTCCCGTGAGATTGTTGTAAAAAGTAGGAGGAGGAAGGAGTGTTACCCCTGCCCTAGGTCCCAAGAAACGATGTACCACTCAGTCTCCTTTTGACCCTCAGGACCCTCACAGGCAAGGCCGCCATGTACAGTTGTTCAGGTTGGTCACGGCACAGCTGAGGGCAGAGGGGCTGGGATCCAGCTCCTGTCATGCCCTTTACCCACTGTGGTGGTTTTCTGATTGCATTATTACTTGTGTGGCTTTCTACTATTGGTAGGAACTTTCTCATCCTCGCATTTATTTAGTTACGTATATTAGGTAAGAATTCTGGATTATAATCTATTCTAGTGTTGATGTCCAAACTGTTCCAGATTTGGCCAGTGGGGTCCCTTTGGCTCCTGTGTCCTCTTGGCATGTCCTCATCATTCTTTTTTTGGCGGGGGAATGGGGTCTCACTGTCAACCCAGGCTGGAGTGCAGTGGCACAGTCGCAGCTCACGGAAGCTTTGATCTCTGGGATCTATCCCCTCACCTCAGCCTCCCAAGTAGCTGGGACTATAGGTGTGCACCACCATACCTTTTTGTAAAGATGGCATTTCACTGTGTTGCCCAGGCTGGTCTCGAACTCCTGGGCTCAGTCCTCCCACCTCATCCTCCCAAAGTGTTGCGATCACAGGTGTGGGCCCCTGTGCCCGGCCTATCCCCATTCTTCAGGCACTTTGGAGATAGTTCTGGATGGACAGTATTGTCCTTCCTGCCATGATATCGTGTGGCCAAGTTCAGGTGCAAGTCCAGCTTAGAGACGTAAGCCTGCAGAGACTCAACATTTCGCTTCTCCAGGGTCTTCCCAGTGCCGCCCTCTTCCTGTCCGCTTCTTGTTGCTGTATTGGCCCTCAGGACAAAACAGGGAGAGGATTCTGAGGTCGTCGGAGCCAGGGGCACATCTCCCTTGCTGTTCTGATGCTGTGGCGGCACTCTTGCCTGTTATCCAAAGCCCTAACCTGCTGAGACGGAGATCCCAGTGGCAGAGGCCACTGGTGGAAGGGAGAGTGTTAACTGTGGAATTTCCCCCGGCAGAAAAAAATGAAACTTCGTGGTACCAAAGACCTGTCTATTGCTGCGGTGGGGAAGTACGGGACTCTGCAGGAATTTTCTTTCTTTGACAAGGTGAGGGCGGGCCCTGGCTTCCATCTTGTGGATGCCACATCCAGCTGGCTGGGCCGATGCTCCCTGGGCCTGCCCCAGGACTTGGGGAGGGTGGAGCTAGGGTGGGTGTGGTCTGAGGATGGAGCAGGTGGGGTCGGGAGGATGGAGCTGGCCCCCAGCTCTCATTGCAGCAGGGAATGTGGGCCACCTTGGAGCCCAGACGTGGGGTGTGGGCAGGAGTCCACAGTGGGTGTGCCAGACAGAACTGAGAGTCCGAGCAGAGTAGGAAGACATACATGTCTGCCACCCTGAAGCTGTGTGGCTTTTTCTTATGTCGGGGGTGATTGTGGGGTTCCCGCCCAGGGTTTGTGGGCACAGCAGACAAGGTGGCTGTGAATTGCTGCACGGATGACACATCTGGGCTGTGAATTGCTGCATGGATTGCCTGCACGGGCTATGTAACTTGCTACATGGATGACACACATGGACTGTGAATTGCTACATGGCTCGTGTGCATGGGCTGTGTGAATTGCACAGATGATGGTCATGGGCTATGTGAATTGCTACACAGATTGCATGCATGGGCTGTGTGAATTGCTGCACAGATGATGCACATGGGCTGTGAATTGCTGCACGGATCGCATGCGCAGGCTGTGTGAATTGCTGCACAGATGATGCACATGGGCTGTGAATTGCTGCACGGATTGCATGCGTGGGCTGTGTGAATTGCTGCACAGATGATGCACATGGGCTATGAATTGCTGCACGGATCGCATGTGCGGGCTGTGTGAATTGCTGCACAGATGATGCACGTGGGCTGTGAATTGCTGCATGGATCGCATGCGCGGGCTGGGTGAATTGCTGCACAGATGATGCACATGGGCTGTGAATTGCATGGATCGCATGTGCAGGCTGTGTGAATTGCTGCACGGATGACACATGGGCTGTGAATTGCTGCATGGATCGCATGCGCGGGCTGGGTGAATTGCTGCACAGATGATGCACATGGGCTGTGAATTGCACGGATCGCATGCGCAGGCTGTGTGAATTGCTGCATGGATGACACATGGGCTGTGAATTGCTGCATGGATCGCATGTGCAGGCTGTGTGAATTGCTGCACAGATGACACATGGGCTGTGAATTGCTGCATGGATCACATGCGCAAGCTGTGTGAATTGCCATAGATGATGCACATGGGCTGTGAATTGCTGCACGGATCTCATTTACTTATAGACACAGCTGGTTCCTGTATCGCACACCCATGTGGGTGACTTACAAGTGAACCAGGCCCAGAAGCTGAGGAGCAGGGGTTCACAGTGGGTCCCTGACTGCTGTCTCCACAGGTCCGCCGAGTGCTGAAGAGCCAGGAGGTGTATGAAAACTTCCTCCGCTGCATCGCCCTCTTCAACCAGGAGCTGGTGTCTGGCTCCGAGCTCCTGCAGCTCGTCAGCCCATTTCTGGGGTGAGCAGCTGACTTCCCCGGGCTCCCCAGGGTAGTTCTGTTCCTGACAACTCCATCTGCTAGGTTTTTAGTTACTGTTTTTGAACAATGATTTTGCTTTTCTAAAATCCTGTTTACTAATTGAAGTGATTGAGATTAATTATAGATTCCTGTGCATTTGTGTTTTTTGTTTGTTTGTTTTGAGATAGAGTCTTGCTCTGTCGCCCAGGCTGGATTGCAATGGCACGGTCTTGGCTCACTGCAACCTTCGCCTGCTGGGTTCAAGCCATGCTCCTGCCTCAGCCTCCCGAGTAGCCAGGATTACAGGTGCCCGCCACCACGCCCTGCTGATTTTGTATTTTTAGTACAGACGGGGTTTCACCACATTGGCCAGGCTGTTCTCGAACTCCTGACCTTGTGATCCACCTGCCTTGGCCTCCCCAAGTGCTGAGATTACAGGCATTAGCCACCGTGCACAGCCAATTCCCATGCTTTTGTAAGGAGTGATACACCACCTGGGTACCCTCCAGCTGGTGCCTCCAACAGTAACATCTAGAGTTAGTATCCTCACCAGAAAACAGTAGGTCCTCGAATAAAGCCTTTTCATTTAACACTGTTTTGTTACTGGTGAGAAAAAACCATTCATTTCTGGTCTGAGTGGAGTTTGCACGTTCTCCCCATGTCTGTGTAGTTTCTCCCACGTCCCAAAGATGTGCATGTTAGGTTAAATGTAGGTGAAGTGATGAATCTCCATGGTCCCAGCCTGAGTGAGGGGGTGGTGAGCGCCCTGCAGTGGGGTGATGTGGTGTCCAGGGTGCTCTGAACCGCTGGGATGGGGTCCAGCCGCCTGAGACCCTGAACTGGGGTGATTGGGTAAATCTGGTAAGTTGTTTTCACTCATCTTTCTTATCTCTATGTCTGGCTTGCATTTATTTCAGTGTTAAATATTAGAAGTGTTTGGTCTCTCTTGAGAAATTTGGTGATGGTTTTATGACCGGAAATATGCCTTAGGAGTGTCACTCTTGTTGATGTGTCAATTAGCTTGCGGCAAAATTGGTTTTGTTAGGCATCTTTTCGCCGAAAGTCACAGCTTCCTAAAACCTGGCGAGTGACGGCTGACTGTATCGACTCTCACACAACCCACGGATCTTTCCAGCGTCTCTGTGTCACTCGTACACGTCCGGTGTGTGTGTTTATACAACTTTCTCACTGTGGAGCGTTGTGCATCCGCCACAGTGAAGATACTGAGCAGCTCCAGGGCCGTCAGCGTTCTGCCTTGACCTTTTGTTTCCATCCGAAAAGCCTGCCTCACCCAGAGTCTGTTTCCAACTCCTGGCAACCACACCACTCATCTAAATTTTAGTGTGTCTCTAAAGTTTATATTAAAATGTTACAGTAATGGAACTGTACAGGAGGAACCTTATGGGAGAAACTTTTTTTTTTAACCCAGCGTAATTCCCTGGAGATTCACCCGATAAATGCCTTTTATAATTCTTTTTTTTTTTTTTTTTTTTGAGACGGAGTTTCGCTCTTGTTACCCAGGCTGGAGTGCAATGGCGCCATCTTGGCTCACCACAATCTCCGCCTCCTGGGTTCAGGCAATTCTCCTGCCTCAGCCTCCTGAGTAGCTGGGATTACAGGCACGCACCACCATGCCCAGCTAATTTTTTGTATTTTTAGTAGAGATGGGGTTTCACCATGTTGACCAGGATGGTCTCAATCTCTTGACCTCATGATCCACCCGCCTCGGCCTCCCTAAGTGCTGGGATTACAGGCTTAGTTCCAGCTACTTAGGAGGCTGGGTCGTCTGAGCCCGGGAGGTGAAGCCTGCAGTGAGCTGTGATCACGCCACTGCACTCCAGCCTGAGACCCTATATCCAAAAAAAAAAAAACGTCTGGATGTAGTCGCTCACACCTGTAATCCCAGCACTTTGGGAGGCCAAGGTGAGTGGATCACCTGAGGTCGGGAGTTCAAGACCAGCCTTGTTAACATGGTGAAACCCCATCTCTACTAAAAAATACAAAAATTAGCCGGGCATGGTGGCGGTCACCTGTAATCCCAGCTACCTGGGAGGCTGAGACAGGAGAATCACTTGAACCCGGGAGGCGGAGGTTGCAGTGAGCCAAGACTGTGCTGCTGTATTCCAGCCTGGGCAACAAGAGTGAGACTCCATTTAAAAAACAAAAACCAAAAAACCGTACCCCAGCTACACAGAGAGAAGCCTCATTAGTGGGTCAGGTCTGAGAGCAGTTTCTAACCCCCGGTGGCCAGGTCAGCCTAGGGGGGGACTAGGTCCAGGTCGAGGGGCCTGGAAGCAACTGTGCACACTTGCGTCTGCTCTTGGGTGCACAGGAGTGTGTACAGTACGAGTAGGTGGGACTGTGAGCACTGTGTGAGACCTGGGAGCCAAGTGGGGCCAGTTTCCCTTCCTGCACATCAGCCCTGTGACTGGGATGAGTCACTTGGCCAGTCTGACTCTCAGTTTCCTTGCTGTAAAATGGGGATAGTAAATGTACCTACCTAAGCGCAGTTCCTGAGACCTGCAGGTGGGCACTACCTCTAGGGCCCTTGAAATACAATCGAATTTCACAAATAAAAGGAGATGACAGGTTTCTTTAGGCAGAAGGAAATGATGTAAGTCACAAGCTTGGATCTACCTAAAGAAGGGAAGAGTGTCCAAGAAAAACACACCTGCAGATTTTTTTTTTCAAGACAGAGTCTTGCTCTGTCATCCAGGCTGGAGTGCAATGATGCAGTCTTGGCTCACTGCAACCTCCAGCTTCCAGGTTCAGGCGATTTTCTTGCCTTAGCCTCCTGAGTAGTTGGGGTTACAGGTGGAATTACAGTAGTTGGAATTACATAAAACCACCACACCTGGCTCATTTTTGTATTTTCAGTAGAAATGGAGTTTTGCTATGTTGGCCAGGCTGGTCCCGAACTCGTGACCTCAAGTAATCTGCCTGCCTCAGTCTCCGAAAGTGCTGGGATTACGAGCATGAGCCACGGTGCCTGGCCATAATTTTTTTTAATGGTTCTCAAACATGGCGGGCACACACGTTATGTGATCAGCCCATTCAGTCCTTAACTGTTTTCCTGTTTACCCCAAGAATAGTAGTTGATGGCAGTTGTGGCTGCAGCGTTTACCCTGAAATAACTTTGTCATGAAGGATCTCATTTTTATTATTATTTTTGCGTTGCTCTCATATATCAACTTTGGAAATAAAAAGACATCGTTTTATGCATAGCATTCTGTTTTTGGCAGTGGTGTTTCCAGTTACACAAAATATAGTAATTCTTGATCACTGAAAATATCAAATCTTGGAAAACGTAGCATTCCTGCACTTGATGGGAACATTGTTCTCAAACAGTTGTTGGCCAGAGACTCATCTGATGGCTCCGACTGTTCTAAAATAGACACTTCTGGTGATTCACATGATTCTGACACTCTGTTTAGAAACAACTCCAAGAACAGTTTTTACATTTTACTTCCACCATGAAAATCAGTCAGAGAAAATCACTCTCTTCAGCCTCAGAGAGAGTTTATGTAAAATTAAATGAGCTCTGGCATAAGCTGTACTTTTTTTTTTTTCTAAATGGGAAACAGTTAAATCAACCCTGGGGACAGGTGCTGTGTGAGTCCTTTTGCATTAACTTAAAAAAATGTGTGTATATGTAAATATTTTTCTAACTTACAATGAAGCACAGATGCAAGAAACCACGTGGCCGAGAAATGGGTTGAATCTTTATTAAGCAGTCACCCACGTGCCCGCCCACCACCCACATCACAAATAGACTACGGGAGTGACCGCCTACTGCAGGAGTGACGGTGCAGCCACCCAGGGGGGCATTGCCAAATACATGCCTCAGTTTCACCCCAGCTGGGTTTTCTTCCCTTTTTTCTGAGATGGAGTCTCATTCTGTCGCCCAGGCTGGTGTGCAGTGGGGTGATCTCAGCTCACCGCAACCTCCGCCTTGCAGGTTCCAGCCATTCTCCTGCCTCAGCCTCCCGAGTAGCTGGGAGTACAGGTGCACACCATCACACCCAGCTCATTTTCGTATTTTTAGGAGAAATGGGGTTTCTCCACATCGGCCAGGCTGGTTTCAAACTCCTGGCCTCAAGTGATCCTCCTGTCCCAGCCTCCCAAAGTGCTGGGATTACAAATGTGAGCCACGGCACCCAGGCCCTGGGTTTTGTTTCCTAATACATCTCCTTTCACCTCCAGTTCCCTCCGATTCTAGTCCTTACTGTTTCTATTCTGATAGCCCTCTACATGTCCCTGTCTGTTATTTCTGTGTTATTAGCCTCCCAGGTTTGCTCATTCATCTGGGGTTGCACAGGAAGATTGCCACAGCATTTATCACCTTTTCTAAAGTGGCCAGGAAAGCTGCTTGGTTTCAGTCTTGTTTCTTTCCTGCGGCCTCAGAGTGATGAGCTGCTTTCGTGTCATCTTCCCAAGGGGACCAATTAGGTCCTTTCTTAAAAAAGCATGTTAATGAGTTCATGGACTTAAAACATATTTGATACGTTTCAGTACTTTTTCTAGTACTTTTAAAGGTGAGGGGCTGGGCGTAGTGGCTCACATCTGTAATCCCAGCACTTTAGGAGGCCGAGGTGTGCGGATCACCGAGGTCAGGAGTTCAAGACCAGCCTAACCAATATGGTGAACCCCCAACCCTACTAGAAATTTAAAAAATTAGTTGGATGTGGTGACCTGTGCCTGTAGTCCCAGCTACTCAGGAGGCTAAGACAGGAGAATTGCTTGAACTTAGGAAGCAGAGGTTGCAGCGAGCCGAGATCGCACCGCTGCACTCCAGCCTAGGCAACAGAGTGATACTCTGTCTCAAAAAAAAAAGACTAGCCTGGGCAACATAGTGAATCCTTGTCAGAAACTACCCTGCAGTGGTGGCATGCACCTGTAGCTATCACTTGAGTTTCAGAGGCAGAGGTTGCAATGAGCCATGATCGCACCACTGCACTCAGCCTGGGCGACAGAGTGAGACTCTGTCTATAAATAAATAAACAAAAATAAAGGTGAGGAAGCTGAAGCTCAGATCAAATGCTTCTGACTTACCCGAGGACAAACACTCCTAGGTGAGCTTAGCGTGCTGTTAGGCAGCAGCCAGGGTGCTCTAGCCCCAAAGCCAGCCCTTTGCATGTTCTCTGCCTTTTGGGCACAGTGGCTGCTGGGTGTTGTGTCAACAGGCTCATGCTGTCAGGCTGGACTTACGTGTCTTTTTTTTTTTTTTAACTCAACATTTCTTCGAAGTGCTTCAGCATCAGATGTGAATCCACGTCCTTTTTTTTCCTTTTTTTGAGATGGAGTCTTGCTCTGTCACCAGGCTGGAGTGCAGTGGCGTGATCTCGGCTCACTGCAACCTCCGCCTCTTGGATAAAGTGATTCCCCTTCCTCAGCCTCCCGAGTAGCTGGGATTATAGGCGCCTGCCACCACGCCCGGCTAATTTTTTGTGTTTTTAGTACAGACAGGGTTTCACCATGTTGGCCAGGATGGTCTCGTTCTCCTGACCTTGTGGTCAGCCCACCTCGGCCTCCCAAAGGGCTGGGATTACAGGTGTGAGGCACCGCACCCGACCCACAGCCTCATTTTTAAGTAACCGCATGGCTTCTCCTTCCCTTAGCAGGATCTCTAACAATGAGCATTGGTCTCTAGTCCTCCCTCAAATGCTGCTGAGGCTGCGAGCCTCACGGGTCAAGCTGAGCCCATCAGAAGGCCTTTTCCCTGGTGGTCCTGGGCTTGCACATGTTGGGGTGCTCTTTCTAGTGGGTTTTCTTTCCCAGGCTGCTGAAGGTCTGTAAATGCCCTGAAGAACAGCCCAGAGCAGGATGGTGTTTCTCTAGTCTCAGCCAGACAAGCCCCTGAGACCTGTTTGTGATGTGGGTACACATGGATGGGCGTTTTCTGTGGATGTGGAATGCACAATCACCTTGACCCACCTCTTTTGGGCTCAGAATCCAGCACTCTCCTGACAAGGGGCCCTCGGGGCTGTGTGTGCAGCTGGTGTCGGCACCTGGGCCCAGGGGGCAAGTGATCACCCTGGGTTGGAATTGGGACTCTGCTTCTTACTAGCCAAGCGAGCCTCAGCGTCTTTGTAAAATGGCCATACCTCCCTCCTCGGCTTGTCGGGGGCCTAGAAGGGAAGACAAAAGGAACATGAAATTCAAGAATATGAAAGGCAGGGTGCTGAGCAGCAGATGGGCAGTGCTGGGGCACAGTCAGCTGTTCTTGCTTCCGTGTTTCAGCAGTAGTGAGAGACTCGTATGGGGAAGTTCACCATGTTGGTCAAGGTGGTCTGGATCTCTTGACCTCATGATCCACCCGCCTGGGCCTTACAAAGTGCTGGGATTACAGGCGTGAGCCACTGCACCCAGCCCTCTGCAGTATTTTTATTGGTGTCTTTTCTGCCTACGTTTCCATTGGCTTGTGGGTTTTCCTTGTGAACAGAGTTGGCATAGGGTTCTTAAATATAGGGCATGACGGAAGCCACATCACCGAGGGGTACGTTGTTACACGTGGGTGGGCTGGGGGGCACAGCAGGACTGCGGCACCAGCAGTCAAAGTAACTGCACCTTTTCTGGTAGGATCTGATGTTACTGTTTTGAGACAGTGTCCTGCTGTGTTGCCCAGGCTGGTCTCAGACTCTCGAGCTGAAGTGATCCACCTGGCCTCCTGAGTAGCTGGGATTCCAGGCACACACCACCAGATCTGATACTGTTCTAAACAGAAATCCAAGGGCATTGTAGGGTCATTTGCATTAAAGCCTTCCTGTCGTCGAGCACAGCCATGACATTCTGACTTTCAAGGATGTGTCCAGAGAGGGGTTCACAGAGAGGAGTCTCCCTCATGAGAGCAGAAGGCTGTGGATCAGGGATCAGTGAACTTGATCTCTGAGGGCTCATATGGGCTTTGTGGAAATGACTCAAACCCCTCTCATGCAGGCGGCCACAGGCACTGCAAGAGCCAGTGGATATGACTGTGCCAGTGAACCTTTGTTTACGATGGGATGGCTGGGCACGGTGGCTCATGCCAGTCATTCCAGCACTTTGGGAGGATGAGGCGAAATGATTGCTGGAGGCCAGGAGTTGGAGACCAGCCTGGGAAACACAGCAAGACCCTAACTCTACAAAAATGTTTTTAAAATTACCTAGGCGTGGTGGCACATGCCTGTGTCCCAGCTGCTGAGGAGGCTGAGGTGGGAAGGTCTCTTGAGCCCAAGAGTTTGAGGTTGCCGTGAGCTGAGATCGTGGCACTGCCCTCAAGCCTGGGCAACAGAGTGAGACACTATCTCTAAAACCAAACAAACAAAACACAGGCAGTGGGTACATTGGCCAAGGTGAAGCCCGGCCTCTTCCAGTCAGGAAACATCGTGGGCTCCAGCTTCTCCCCGTTTAAGTCATCTTTTCTGGTTTATTTCAAAGCCTTCCTGTGAGTCTGGGGTCAGTAGGCACAAGAAGGGACCTGGTATGTGACAGAGGGTTGGGAGGCCCATTCATTCACACACCTCAGGACGTGCAGTGACTTCCTGTGTATCGGTTGTTTCCGCCTCTCATTGCCGTCCATGATGTTGAATTCTGACTCTGTTTAACCTGGAATGTCCATTTGAAGCCATTCTAAAATCTCCAGATCTCTCTCAGAAGATCCTGGGGATGACCAGTTACCATTTGTTTTTATCTTTGAAGGAAATTTCCAGAACTCTTTGCACAGTTCAAGTCCTTCCTGGGGGTAAAAGAGCTGTCCTTCGCGCCACCCATGAGCGACAGATCTGGGGACGGGATAAGCCGGGAAATCGACTATGCGTCTTGCAAGCGCATAGGATCCAGCTATCGGGCGCTCCCCAAAACCTACCAGCAACCCAAGTGCAGCGGAAGGACGGCCATCTGCAAGGAGGTAGTGCTCCCCAGGGCTCACTGTTCCTTGACATGGTGCATCCCTCTCCCTCCCCAGCAAACACCCAATACCCCTGTTATGAATGAAATGCTGTGTGCTCAGCCCCCTTGAATGTTGGGTTATGGGTGGTGTTGGGATGTGGCCTGGCAAAACCACCTGAGCAGAGGCGACAGTGTTGTACCCTGCTGGTAGTTGCAAACCACGAGTGCAGGGATAATGTGGAGTTCGGCTTATTCTTCGGTTGTTTGACTTAGGTTTATGGCTGCTGTGATTCTGCTCAGTTCCAGGCTCACTGACCTCAGTCTTTCTGTTGAGCTTGATCATTGGATACTTCTCCAGGGTTTGTGGACAGACGATACAGCATGTCCAAGTTTCCAAAGTACCTGCTGGATTCCAGGATATAGTGCAGGGGTCACCAAACTCTGGCCCGTGGACCCTGGCCCGCTGCCTGTGTTTGTAAATAAAGTTTTATTGGCACACAGACACAGCCAATCATTTACATGTTGCCCATGGCTGCTTTTCTCACCACAAAGGCAGAGTTGAGTATTCATCCAAGATAGGCTGCAAAGCCTGAGATACTCGCTATCTCACCCTTTGCAGAGAGAATTTACCAATGTCTGAACTGAAATCAGCCCTCCATATCTGCAGATTCCACATCTGTGGTTTCAACTAACCATGGATTGAAAATATATGGGGAAAGAGAAACCAAAAAATCATATTACAGCAAAACATAATCCACATTTTCAGAATGCAGTGTAACAACGATTGCGTTAGGTGTAAGTATTCTAGACGTGATTCTGCCTAGGTTATATGCAAATAGGACTCCATTTGACGTCAGCGACTTAAGTATCTGTGGATTTGGGTCTCTAGGGGTGCTTCTGCAACCAGGCTCCCGGGACACCAAGGGACGTGTTCACTTGACCAAAGTCATGTTTTCCCTTAAAAACTTTATTAGCCTTTCCATTTGCATAAGGCATCTGCATATTATATAATCAGGATGGTATAATGTATCTTTGTACTTTCTGCTCTGGATGACAGTAAATTTTGGTCCCTGGGGCCTGCTGCGCTGGTCATATCGTTTCCTCTTGGTGCAGGTACTGAATGACACCTGGGTCTCCTTCCCCTCCTGGTCTGAGGACTCCACCTTTGTCAGCTCCAAGAAGACGCCCTACGAGGAACAGCTGCACCGCTGTGAGGACGAGCGCTTTGAGGTGTGTGTGCAGCTGCCTCCAGCACGTGCCTGTCCCCCTCCTGCATGGGGCTGCTGTGGCCAGGCCCCCCGACCCTCAGCACATTCTCCACAGGACAGGTGTCCTCTTCCTCCTCTACCACCCCAGTCTCCTTTGGAGGAGCAGGTGTTGCAGCACATTCCAGAAGCTCCTGGAAGCTTCCTGCCAGGTCTTGCTGGCCTCTGGGCTGGCTACTAGATGGTGCTTTTTTTTCTGTTTAAAAATTGTATTTGGGCTGGGCATAGTGGCACATACCTGTAATCCCAGCACTTTGGGAGGCCGAGGCAGGTCGATCGCTTGAGCTCAGGAGTTTGAGACTAGCCTGGGCAACATGATGAAAACCCATCTGTATCAAAAATACAAAAATTAGTCTGGCGTGGTGGTGGGCACCTGTAATCCCAGCCACTCAGGAGACTGAGGCAGGAGAATTACTTGAGCCAGGTAAGGCCGAGGCTGCCGTGAGCTGAGATTGCACCACTGCACTCTAGCCTGGGTAACGGAATGAGACCCTGTCTACTAAAAAAATAGTTTAATTGATGTCATTTAAATGTATTCTTATTTTGTTTATCTTGCTTGCTCTGTCTCCCAGGCTGGAGTGTAGTGGCATAATCATGGATCACTGCAGCCTTGACCTCCCAGACTCAAATGATCCTCCCACCTCAGCCTCCTGGGTCACTGGAACCTCAGGTGCACAATACCATGCCCAGGGTTTTGTTTTGTTTTTTCTTTTTTTGTAGAGATGAGGTCTCACCATGTTCCCCAGGTTGGTCTCACACTCCTGGTCAAATGCTGAGGTTAAGGGAATGAGCCACCGCACCTGGCTTATTTTTTTTATTTTTTATTTTTAGAGACAGGGTCTTTATTGCCCAGGCTAAAATAATTTTCGTAAATATATATTTTTGTTAAAATAAAATTTTTATTGGCCGGGCGCGATGGTTCACGCCCGTAATCCCTGCACTTTGGGAGGCTGAGGCAGGAGGAATGCTTGAGGCCAGGAGTTCAAGACCAACCCGGGCAACAAAGCAAGAACTCATCTACAAAAAGGTTTTTTTCATTCTTTGTATCTTTCTTTTTATTTATTCTTTTTTGTTTGTTTGTTTTTCTCTTTTTCGTTTTTCACATGTAACAGGAAACAAAAATTTTTTTTTTTTAATTAGCCAGGCATGGTGGTATACATCTATACTCTCAGCTACTTGGGAGGCCAAGGTGGGAGGATCGTTTGAGCCCAGGAGGTTGAGGCTGCAATGAGCTATGATTGTGCCACAGCACTCCGGTCTGGGTGACAGAGTAAGACTCTATCTCTTAAAGACACAGACACACACACACACACACACACACACACACACCCCTTATCCCTTAAATGCACACACACACACAAACAAAGACCCCAAAAATTCTCTGCCCTCTGAGGTCCCAGGACCCTTCCTGGGGCCTCTTGAGTTCCCCAGCGCTGACCCCTTCCTGCCTTCCTTTCTGTAGTTAGATGTGGTCCTGGAGACCAACCTGGCCACCATCCGCGTGTTGGAAAGCGTGCAGAAGAAGCTCTCTCGGATGGCACCGGAAGACCAGGAGAAGTTCCGGCTGGACGACTCCCTGGGTGGCACATCGGAGGTGATCCAGCGCCGTGCCATCCATCGCATCTATGGTGACAAGGCCCCAGAGATCATTGAGAGCCTCAAGAAGAACCCCGTCACCGCTGTCCCTGTTGTTCTGAAAAGGTGCCCTACAGCGTCTGGCCTTCCTTTCCCCACCAAGGGGAGCTCCTGGACTGCTCATTAGTGCTGTTTGTCAACAGGTGTCATCTCCAGCGGGGGTCTCTGAGGCCTAGGGCTGGCTTCCTGTATCTCCCACTCTCCCACTCCTGAGAGGAGAGCACTGTGACCCTCTAGGACTTTCCTTCTAGGACTTTCTACCTTGCACATAATCACATCTAGACGTGTAAATAACTGCTTTAAGAGTCAGATGCGACCACTACACTGTGGCTGGCTTTTTAAGTAATGCTGCATCTCAGATACCATCCCGTACAGGTATTTATTAAGTGGCCACTTTAAGGGAGGTGCAGTGCTTGGCCCTGGGGTTATGCAGCTGAGTGGGGCAGACCCGGTCCCTCTCCTCATGGGACTCACAGCTGAGCAAGGAACCTGAGTGGTTGATCCAGCAGCCATGCGGAGAGACGGAGGAACTGGGAAGCCAGCCACATTGGCTCTGTGAGGCCATCACGCCTTCCCTCTGACGCAGCACGGAGCCCACTGCACAGACTAGGCTGGGAGCTGGCTGGCCTGGGTCCTGGGACCCCAGTCAAATCCCAGAGGAAGACAGGCCAGCCCCAGGGTGCTTTAGGGAGGATGGCCTGGCTTGTCCCTGGTGCTGACCCCTCTTTTCCCCGCAGGCTGAAGGCCAAGGAGGAGGAGTGGCGGGAGGCCCAGCAGGGCTTCAACAAGATCTGGCGGGAGCAGTATGAGAAGGCGTACCTCAAGTCCCTCGACCACCAGGCTGTGAACTTCAAGCAGAACGACACCAAGGCCCTGCGCTCCAAGAGCTTGCTGAACGAGATCGAGAGCGTCTATGATGAGGTACAGCTGGCCAGCTGGGCAGGGTCCTGGCTCTCCCAACCGCTGGGTCTGTGCCTCTGTTTCCCTGGTGCTTAGGCAGGGTGGTGGCATCGCCCTTTCAGGGCTGTGTCTAGGCGAGGGTTCGTGTCTCTGTGAACCCTAGAAGAACCTGCCCTAGGAGAACCAGCAATTCTGCTGTTGTCTAGAGAAGTCTCCGGCCCTCCCATGGGGCAGTGACGGACTTTGGCTTAGGCAGCGGGTGGCAGCAGCCTTCATTTATTTCTTGCTGACTGTGTCAGGCAGGGTGTTAGCACCCCCAGAAGGAGTAATATCTCATCTGACCTCACTTCTGAACCTGACTCTGCTGCAGCATTATTCTAATTTTACCAGTGGGGAAACTGAGGCACAAGAGTTTACACTTGGCCAGGGCTGGTCAGAGTGGGCCAGAGCTCTGAGTTGTCAGGTCCGAGGCTTTCACTGCACATCCTCACTGCAAACTCACGAGGCCTGAGTCACAGAACCAAGGCTAGCAGGTCCCACAGGTTGCCAGGAGCTGGGTTGTTAGCAGCCATGCCTTCAGAGCCTGAGGTGGGAAGCTTGGCAGGGTGCTGGACATGGTGGCAGCCAGCTGTCGGGAAGGTCCTTGGGCGCTCTGAGAAGGTGGCTGGGGAGGGGTGGTGCTCCCTGGGCAGTGCCCAGATCACAGTGGGAGCTGCATTGTCAGCCTCGTGCCCACCTGAGTAGGGGCATCACCTCACCCAATTCGGTTTCTTCTTGCTGTCACTGCACAATGAGTGGTAGCTCCTCCTTTTGCAATGCAGAAACAGAAGCCACAGGAACCGGGCTGCTGGCCTGAGGCCTCTCCCACAGCCTGTGGGACTGTGGAGACCCCCTTCTCTTCCACCTCCCTCCCTATGGGCTGCCCTCGCCGCAGGCCCACCCCACAGCCACTCTGGCTTCCTCACTAGCCCTCCGCGGATCCTCAACCCTGAGACCCTGCCTACGTTCTGTGAGTCTGTGGCATCTGCAAAGTGTAGGTGATGAAGTGGCTCTGGAAATCCACTGATGCAACCCCAAGTTCTTCAGACCCCCATTCCATCATGCAGTTTACAAAGCACAGTTACGGACCACAGACATGGGGACCCTGCTTCAGAGGGGACTGTAAAGGAATTTTGAAAGTGTTTATGGCATAAATGAGACCTGGGGGACTTAGGAAGCAGTCAGAGGCCAGAGGCCCCACTGAATAGCCCAGAGCGGAGCTGAGTGTGCAGACTCCTAGGAACCAGCCCAGTGTGCTTGGCCTCTACGCTGCCCTGCAGGGGAGGAGGAAGGGAAGCCTCAGGCTGCTGGAAGACCCAGTGCTGCCCTCGGGAGCTCCCCGCCGGCAGAGACAGCATCCACACTCACTTTCCTTAAGAGCCCCGGTGCGTCTGCCTCCCTGCCTGGTGCTGAGGGGTTGGGACCGCCCAGCACAGTGGCGTGGCAGGCTGGAGGAAGGAGTGATTGTCTTCCGCTGTGAGGGAATGAAAGTCACGATTTGGATAAAGACCAAGGGGAGAGGTGAGCCTGAGGGAGGGGTAAGCCTGGGATGGGGTTTTCCAGGGAGTGAGAGCAGATGGGCATGTGCAAAGGCCCTGCACATGCAGGAGGAGCTCGACGCCCCGAACATTGCAGGAAGGAGCTTGAGGGCTGTAAGGCCAAAGGTGCTTCGGAGGGGTGCGCCAGGGCCCGGCATCTTCTGAGCAGCCTGGGGACCATTAGTCAGGGCGACCTTGCTCCTGTTGGCCAAACTGCCCAGGACCTGGTGAGGAGAGCGGTTGGAGCAGGGTGGTGGGAGGGCTGGTGGAAGGATGGTGGTAGCGAGCACATGCAGGGGATGGCAGGTGACAGCGTTGGAGACGGGCTTGGTGACGATGGGCGTGTGGGGCTTCAGATGTGAGAGTTGCATACCTCCCGGGGAGTAGATGGAGGGCAGAGGCTTGAGGTCAAGGCTCACTCTGCACCTCCTTGACCTCATCAACAGCGTGGTATGGGCAGCCATGGTCAGGCTGGAATCAGGCGCTGCCGTTCTTGTCAGTAGTAGGAGGTCTGCCTTAGAGGCTTCTCCGTGCTGAGCCATGGGGCCCTGATCTGTCTTGGAGTCGGGCTGAGTGACAGACCCAGGCTTGATGCTGCCAGACCCCCTCTGACCTCTCCCCTCCCGTCTCAGAATCCTCTCCTTTGCCTGGCGTCCCTGCTTTTGGAGAGGGGATCAGGAGCACATGGCACTGCACAAGAGACTGAGGCAAGCGCCCCGCGCCCCCAGGCCCTGCTGCCTCACTGACGCTGCTCACCCACCCCTCTCTGGGCAGCGCTCATCCACCTTGGTGGCCTATCTCACAGCAACTCACGAAGGGCATGGGGGTCCTCTGGGTGCTGGGTGGCTTCCTGCCTAATGGCCATCCTGTCCCCCACAGCACCAGGAGCAGCACTCGGAGGCCCGCAGTGCCCCCTCCAGTGAGCCACACCTTATCTTCGTGTACGAGGACCGGCAGATCCTGGAGGACGCAGCAGCACTCATCAGCTACTACGTGAAGCGGCAGCCGGCCATCCAGAAGGAGGACCAGGGCACCATCCACCAGCTGTTGCACCAGTTCGTGCCCAGCCTCTTCTTCTCCCAGCAGCTGGACCTGGGCGCTTCCGAGGAGTCAGCCGACGAGGACCGGGACAGCTCCCAAGGGCAGAGCACAGAACCCAGCGAACGGAAGAAGCCAGCGCCAGGACCGCATAGCAGCCCCCCGGAGGAGAAGGGGGCCTTCGGGGATTCCCCGGCCGCCGAGCAGCCGCCCCCGCCACCCCCACCTCTGCACAAGGCCCTGGATGATGTCTATAGCCTCTTCTTCGCCAACAACAACTGGTACTTCTTCCTGCGCCTGCACCAGACCCTGTGCTCCAGGCTGCTGAAGATCTACCGCCAGGCACAGAAGCAGCTCCTGGAGTATCGGACCGAGAAGGAGCGGGAGAAGCTGCTCTGCGAGGGCCGCAGGGAAAAGGGCAGCGACCCTGCCATGGAGCTGCGGCTGAAGCAGCCCAGTAAGGATCCAGGGCCTCCTGGAAGGCCCTGGGGGTGCCTGGGGTTTGGGATCACAGCTCATCATCCCACACGTCCTGTTTCTTTCTGGCTTTTCATTTTAAGAATTCTGTGATTTCAAATGGGAAATTGCAAACAGGAAGCTGCCAGCATCAGACAGGTCTTGTGAACCCCTTGCCCAGGCTCCTATCCTGGGTTTAGCACCCTTTCCTTACCAGGAAAGCTGTGTGTCTCACAGCCCTTCCCGTAGAGCCGTCACAGCCAAGCTCCACAGCACATTTTTTTTTCTGAGATGGATTCTTGATATGTTTCCCAAGCTGGAGTACAGTAGCATGCTCTCGGCTCACTGTAACCTCACCTCCCAGGTTCAAGCGATTCTCCTGCCTCAGCCTCCATAGTAGCTGGAATTACAGGCATGTGCCAGCACACCCAGCCAATTTTTTGTATTTTTAATAGAGACAGGATTTCACATGTTGGCCAGGCAGGTCTCGAAGCCCTAACCTCAGGTGATTCACCTGCCTTGGCCTTCCAAAGTGCTGGGATTACAGGCATGAGGTACCGTGCCTGGCCTCCACAGCACTTTCACTGCCATCCCTGGGTTGCCAGTCAGATTAGGCAGCCTCAGGAAGGGTGGCGGTGAACACGTTACTCGGGTTTCCTGCTGATGCCCAGCCTGGCCCCAGGGGTCATGGGTGAAGGTTGCTGGGCCCCAGGGGGGCATTTGTTGGGGTGCTGTGGTGTCACAGCTTGGTCTGTATGGCTTCTCGCCCCCCTGGGAGGCATGTGGATAAAACCATGTGTCTCCACAGGTGAAGTGGAGCTGGAGGAGTACTACCCAGCCTTCCTGGACATGGTACGGAGCCTGCTGGAGGGCAGCATCGACCCCACGCAGTACGAGGACACCCTGCGTGAGATGTTCACCATCCATGCCTATGTGGGCTTCACCATGGACAAGCTGGTACAGAACATCGCGCGGCAGGTGAGCCGGGGCGGGGCCGACACTCAGGACGCTGCACATGGCCCTGCCATGTCATTTCACTCCCTTGCCGGGAGGGGGCCCGTGGTCAACAGTAAACCTGTCCTGATTTCTTGAGACAAAATTCTCATAATGTAAAATGAACCATTTTGAAGTGTCCAGTTTGGTAACATTTAGTACATTCACAATATTGTGCAGTCTCCACCTCTGTCTAGTTCCAGAACATCTCATCTTTCCCGGAGGAGACCCAGTCCCCAGTAGCAGCCACTCCCCTTTCCCCCACCCCGAGCCCCGACATCCAGTGATCTGCTTCCTGCCTCGCGGTTTCCTGCGCACTGCGTTCATTCCTTTCTATGGCTCTGTGATACTCTGTTGCATGGCTGGCTGCGTTTCGTTTCTCCATCTCTTGGTGACCATCTGGCCTATGGCTGCCTGCAGAGACGGTGAACAGTGCTGCTCTGAACATTTGTGTGCAAGTTCTTCTGAGTCCCTGTTGACAAACCTTTTTTGAGGGTAAATGGACAACATGGAAAAACCTTAACGCACTTATCCTGGGCGAGGGTGGGAATAGCGCTGCTCACCAGCGTTGGCTTTAGCAGTAGCAAAAACCAGCCCCTGCTGAATGTCACCACAAGGAAACCAGTCACCTGGATAGAAACAGCAGACGTCCCAGGCGAGCTGGGTGTCGTTCCAGGACATGGGTCCTGCTTGGTTTCTGCCAGCAGCATTGTTCGTGGTGACTTCTGTTTCCTGGTCACCAAGTAAGGCTGTTCATCATAAAGCGGGAAAAAAGCTGGAAAAAAACTAATGCCATTACTCTCCCACTTAGACACAGTCACGAGAAGCATTTCACACAAGATGCTTCCTTCCCGGTTTTAAAGACTGCTTATGGAACTAAAAATCACACGCAGAAAAGTCCCCAAATCTGAAGGGGGCAGATGGATGGGCTTTCATCAACAGAACCCCTGCCCCTGTGTCCCTACCCAGCCACCTGCCACCTGTGGACACCAATAACCCTAATTTTTTTTTTTTGAGACGGAGTCTTGCTCTGTTGCTAGACAGTGCAGTGGTGCAGTCTCAGCTCACAGCAACCTCCACCTCCTTGGTTCAAGCGATGCTCTTGCCTCAGCCTCCTAAGTAGCTGGGATTACAGGCGTGTGCCACCACGCTTGGCTAATTTTTGTGGTTTTAGTAGAGATGGGATTTTGCCATGTTGGCCAGGCTGGTTTTGAACTGACCTCAGATGATCCTCCTGCCTTGGCCTCCCAAAGTGCTGGGATTACAGGCATGAGCCACCACGCCGGGCATCACAACCCTGATTTCTGCACAGAGGTAGATCCCTGGTCTTGAAGCACACAGTGCCCAGCTGCATCCTGGGAGTATCATTCGATGAGATTCCTGTGTTGAGATGAACTGGCCAAGGATTCCCAGGAATGATCCCCGTTCTGTCTCTGGCCACAGGACTTAGAGAAACCCACAGCTGCGTCCTGATACCTTCGCTTCAGCCCCCTCCACTTTCCCTCTGTGTGCCCATCACCATCCACAGCAGTGGCCACTTCCGGGTGAGGGAGATGCACACGGAGCAGCCTGGAGAGAGGACACCCAGGGCCCAGCACATGGTGTCAGGGCAGCAGTGCAGGGATGCCAGAGGGCTGGCACTCTGTCCCCCAGGCTGGGCACCCCTGATGGGCCACGGGTTCAGGGACAGCAGCTTTGCTGTGGCACCAGGAGATTGGACCAGATGGTTTATGGAAAGCATTGATGAATGCTTTGAAAAATCCTCCCCTTCCATAAACCTCTTCTCTAGAACCTGTTAAAAAGCAATGAAAATCGCTGGCTGTCTAGATCTGTCGTCAGGGCCTCACGCTGCCCTGCTGTCCCATCTGTGGCCACACCACAACCCAGGTGCTCACTGCAGGCCCCACCACACTGTTCGTAACCTGCCTTGGGACCATGTCTGGACTCTGCCTCACTTTTTCTTAAAAATCAGCATTGCTGTGTTTTTAGCAGTAGCAACTGACATTCAGTGGGTACCTGCTGTGTGCCAGTTACTGTCTGAAACCTGTGCCTGCCCAGGTGTGATTGTATCCATTCAAGAAAGCTGCACGTGGAACCTGCAGGGAGTGTGGTCCTGCCCAGGGCCCAGGCTGTGCAGGCGGGCTCACACCAGCCCTGTCTGCCCCACAGCCCCTGCTGTCTCCATTACTTTCTCCTTCAGCGCAAAGGTAAAAGGAGTGGCAGGGTGTTTATAGCCAAGCATTTGGGGGAAAGGAATGGCCTACACTGACACCCCCTTCACGTCATTCCTTGGTTTGCTTGGGCACATTTTTGTCCATGTCTCCATGTGTTTCTCATACCCAGGGAGGGTTTGCTGGTCTGGTCTCTTCTGAGCTGGTCTCATGTTGGCCTGGGCTGGTCTGTTTGGCCTGGTCTGTTTGGTCTGCACACAACCTGTCAGGATCCTGGTGTTCATCCCGTGTCACGCACTCTCCAGCCTGAGGTGTTTCTGGCCTTTGCCAACTCCCTCTGTGGGTGAGGTGGGGGCTCCTGCAGGAGACGGGGTAGTAGCACTACCTGCTCTCCCTCCCACCAGCTGCACCACCTCGTGAGTGACGACGTCTGCCTGAAGGTGGTGGAGCTCTACCTGAACGAGAAGAAGCGGGGCGCTGCTGGCGGGAACCTGTCTTCCCGCTGCGTCCGTGCCGCCAGGGAGACCAGCTACCAGTGGAAGGCTGAGCGCTGCATGGCCGATGAGAACTGCTTCAAGGTGAGAGGCGGCCCAAGGCTGGGAACAGGTGGCGAGGCCCGGCCACTCACTCGGCTCTGGACTTGGGCTTTCGGCTGGAACGCCAGCCCTACAGCAGAGTCCGTGAGGTGGCTTTGACCTGCAGGAAGCATCAGGGCTTTGGGAGGGTGGCAGTGGTGGTGGCGGCAGCCTTGTGAGCCTGAGTGGTGCCGTTGCGCTGTCCCAGCAGTCAGACTGTCGGCATCCCTGCTCCCGCAGGTCATGTTCCTACAGCGCAAAGGGCAGGTGATCATGACCATCGAGCTCCTGGACACTGAGGAGGCCCAGACGGAGGACCCCGTGGAGGTCCAGGTGAGGCCCTGGCTCCAGTGCATGCCACACACACCAGGGAGTGCCCGAGGACAGCTTCATGGGGCTCCCACCAGCCAAGTGCAGGCCACGCAGCATCCATCCAGAGACCCTCCCTCTGCAGGCCGTGGGTACCCGTTGAGGCCTGGTGGGTGGGGCTGCCTCCCTCCCTGCTCCCCTGCCAGCCTGTCTTCTGTGCCCACTCTCCAAAGAGCAGACCACCCCTCCCAAGCCAACAGGTGGATCCCAGGGCAGGAGGAGAGCCAAGTCGCCTCTCCCTGGCCCCTGGCTCCCACTGCAGGGAGTCCCTGCAGCTGTGACCTCTGCTCCCCTATGTCAGGGCCGAATCCTGATCCCAGTCCCCAGCAGATGAGCTGCCAGCCCCCAGTTCCCAGTCAGTTTCCACTGGGACACATGTTTCCTGCTCACCTCCCGTGTCCTGGTGGGAGGATGGCGTCAACCTGTGTGTCCCCGCAGGGTGGTCACTGGGTCCTGCAGGTCCAGTGTGTGTGTGTGCACATCACTCAGCTGGGGTGACTGCCACAACGATCAAAAACCACGTGGTTTCAAACAACAGAGGTCTATTGTCTCAACACCCTGGGGGTCAGCAGTCCACAACAGTGTGGGTCGGGCCACGTTCCCGCTAAAGCTCTAGGGGCGGATCCTTCCTGCTTTTCCAGCTTCTGGGGGCTTCTGGCGCTCCTTGGCTGTTGAGAGCTACAGTCTGGGGGTTCTCTGTCAGGGATCGGAGCCCTCCACAGCCGCCCTTCTCATGCTCTGGGAGTTGGGGAGGGGGTGCGCAGAACCCCTGTGAGCTACTGAACTCGGTCCAGAGCGAGAGGGACCATGGACCTGTTGTAGGGGCGTCATGGGCTGTCTCTCTCCCTCCCCAGCACCTGGCTCGGTATGTGGAACAGTACGTGGGGACCGAGGGCGTGTCCACCTCACCCACTGAGGGCTTCCTCCTGAAACCTGTGTTCCTGCAGAGGTGAGAGGCCCCGAGACACATGCTCAGTTCCTTCCAGTGAGCCTAGGGAGTGTCCCCTTTGTCCTGATGGGGGCTAGACCATGGCACATTCTGTGTCTGGGAGCACTTAGTAGGAACCTGCTGTGTGCTAAGGCATGGCCCTGCCCTTTTGAGGCTTGTGGTCTCCACCAGAGGGATCAGTAACCCCAGGATGGTGAGGGGTATAAGGGGCCAGGTCCAACCCCATGGGGAGTCAGTGGATGGAAGAGTGAGCACCCAGCCTGGAGGGAGATGCTGCCTGAGCTGCAGGCCAGGCCTGAGGTGGATGGCTATGGTGGGACCGTGGAGCACCTCCTGTTGGGCTAGGATGGTACCTCTGGGACCAGTAGGGCTTCTGGTGGGTGTTCAGATCTGGGATGTTCTTGTTTCCATTTGCTTTTCTGTGGACCCCCAGGAGGTCACACATCTGGTGGTCCCAGGCCCAGGGGCTCCCCAGCCTGCAAATCCTCCTCCCCTTCCTAGAGGCCCTTGGCCCACAATGCCGAGAGCCAAGGTCCACCCTACCTCATCTTGCCCCCAGGAACCTCAAGAAGTTCCGCCGCCGATGGCAGAGCGAGCAGGCGCGGGCCCTGCGCAGCGAGGCCAGGAGCTCCTGGAAGCGGCTGGTGGGCGTGGAGAGCGCCTGCGACGTGGACTGCCGCTTCAAGCTCAGCACCCACAAGATGGTGTTCATTGTGAACTCCGAGGACTACATGTACCGCCGCGGGACCCTCTGCCGGGCCAAGCAGGTGCCAGGGGAGGCTGGGGCTGCCTCGACACTCTCTCCTCACCCCAAGCGTGGGGCCCGGGGTCCAGCCCTCCGCCACCCTGACACCCCACCTCTCCAACAGGTGCAGCCCCTGGTCCTGCTCCGCCACCACCAGCACTTTGAGGAGTGGCACAGCCGCTGGCTGGAGGACAACGTGACAGTGGAGGCGGCCAGCCTGGTGCAGGACTGGCTGATGGGCGAGGAGGACGAGGACATGGTGCCCTGCAAGACGCTGTGTGAGACGGTGCATGTGCATGGCCTGCCCGTGACCCGCTACCATGTGCAGTACAGCCGCCGGCCGGCCTCGCCCTGACCCGCCCTCCTGGGCACTGGGCAGGCGCCTCACAGAGCACAGACGTGGCCTCAGCCTTGGTCACGTGGGGGCCGTTTTCCGAACCGATGTGAGAGGTATCTCCTAGCGCTGCAGCTGCCGGGTGCCACTGCCAGGGCTCCCAGTCTCCTGTGGGCCTGTCGTGTGCCAAACCTGAGCTACCTGCACCTGAGCCCTGGGGCTCAGCCCCACCACAGGCAAGTGGACGTGCTGGCCGAGGAACAAGCAATCACATTTGTGCCCCCATCCATCACACGTGCCAAATCCCGGGCAGACAGGTGGCTCCTGCCCCGTGTTCATACCGTGTCTCGGAAAAGTCACAGGTGGCAGCCCTCCTGAGGCCCACACTTGGGAGGGGGTTCATGTCCAAGACTCCCTGACAAGGAAGGAGCTGAGCCCTGGGTAGGCTCGCTTGAAAAGTGAGTTCTTCCAGAATATTCTGAGATGCCAGAAATGTCACCTGAGGGTTTGGGCATCAGCTCTGCCCAGCTGGTATTCAAGCCCTCAGTCACTTTGGAAGTGAAGAAAGAACCCTTCAGCCAAACCTTTGGGATCCCAGGTTGAAGTCAACACCTGGGTCGAGCAGGCGGCGCCCCAGGAGACCCCGCTCTGGATAAAAGACACCCAACTCCAGCAGCCGGACTCTGGGCCCGTGAGGGGAGGGACCCCAGCCAGCGCTCCCACGGAGTTGGCACCACCGTGCTGTGGGGCAGCGAGCACACTTGTGTTCCTGCAGTGGGCATTGATGTGTATGTGTATACACGCACAGATATTTATTCCTTTCGCTCTTAGTGGTTGTACTTTCTGCATCAGCCAAGTCCCGTGGCTCCCTGGGGGCGAGATCTGCCTTTGCGGAATTCCGAGCACTGCCCTGACAGTCTCATCCACCGGCCCACCTGGGGACCCACGAGTCCACTCCAGGGATTGGTGTTGTCCTTTAGTGAGGGGCTGAGGCGACTGTCCCATGGAGGCATCCAAGGCTTTCTGTGCCAAGTATCCTAAGTGACTGGGGCTGGGGACCAGTTCTCCAGGCCCCTCTCCCCCCGATGAGAGCCCCTGTCCCCAGCCTCTGCACACTAGTGGGCCCCAAATAACCGCTACCCTCACCATCCTGCACAGCTGGACTCAAGGTTCCAGGAAGTGGAGATGCGTTTCTAGAAGTTCCCTGTGGAACCTGGAGGCTCTTGATGCCTTTGACTCCAAGCTGGGCGGTTCCAAGGCCAACCTGTCCTGGAATCCCCACCTTCTCCCCCTCCCCCAGTGTCACGCAGGCACTTTGTACGCGCCCCAGTTTTCTAAGAAGGGAACTTACCATCAGGATTCCTGCCCCAGGCCTGCGGGCCGTCTAGGGCAGAGCCACGTGGGCCCCCTCAGTAACCCACCCCGCATGCTTCTAGGGAGCGCCTCTTTTCCGTTCTTGAGGACTTTCTGTTTTGGGGCTTGTCCTTCCTTTGCAGCTGTTTTGAATGTAGTTTTCCTTTTCTATTTATTTGCACATTAAAGTTAAAAATGGAATATTGACGTCAAGCCTTGAGGGTCTGTTGGTCTCTTCCTGCGAGAGCCTTGCTGACTTTCTACTGCCAGGTGAGTGGGCTGGACCCACGGGGGCAAGGGTTGGCCAGGTGTGCCCAGCTGGGCCCAGGGGAGTCGAAGTCCTCCAGGAATGACAGAGCTGGGTTCCACCGAGATCATCTCACACCCTGCACCTGCCCCACCACCACATGGGAGTGCCTTCTAGAATGTTCTTTCCCCACTCCGTTTGCACGTTTAGTGGGAATTAGAAGTGTCTCGCGTGCAGAACCCAATTTAAAGACCAGTGTTTGCTTTGAGCTTCCCATGCGCAGGCCCACACGTGCCCACCCGCCCCACATGACCACCCTCCATGCTCCCTGGGGCCCCATCTACCTCCTCCCTTTACCATCATTGTCTCCTCACATCCTGCCCCTGTCCACAACCCCAGCCCGACACCTGCCTCCAGGTAGCTGAAGACCCCACCTCCACTATGTCCCTTGGCTGACACCCCTGGAGGGTTCTGAGGCAGAACTGGCCAGCCCCTCCCCTCAGTATGGGGCTCCTCAGTCTTCTGCAGGGGCTGTCTTCAACCTCCCCGAGGGGCCATAGCTGCCTCCCAAGGACCCACGTGCCCCCTTCACACCCGAGTTGCCCTGGCAGTTCTGACCCCTACCCCCACCAGAGGGTCAGGGCTCCTGGGTAGTGTGACAAGCCAGGCTGGAGGCCACCCCGTTTCCTTCTGCCTCGATCACACAGCTGGGGATGCCCAGGGTCCCCTCTGAGCCCCTAGACTGGCTTCCTTGGTCAGAGTGCTGCAGGGCCTGGGAAGGGCCGAGCTGGTCCCAGGAGAGCAAACAAGAGCAGGTCTTTGAAGGGGCCCTGCCCCGAGGGTTCCCCTGCCCTCAAATAGGCAGGGCCTGTGGCCTGGAGAAGGTGGTATGACATGAGATGAGAGGTCCCTCGCTGGCCCTGAAGACATCTCCACTGTGCTGGGGAGGGGACCCCATGGCAGGGGACAGAGAGTGGCCTCCAAGAGTGGAATCTCAAGAGCCACCACCACCACCAGGACCCAAATTCTGCCAAAGTCCATGTGAGCCCAGGAAAGACCCCGAGCAGCAGATAAGGACACAGCCCAGCTGACGCTTTGATCACAGCCTCATTTGACCCTGAACGAAGGACCAAGCCTGCCAGGCCAGACCTCTGACCCACGGAAATGCGAGGTCGTAGAGGCGTGTGGCTGTGAGCCACATTCATTACCCAGAGAGAACAGCAGCATTAATAAAGCTGCTGCGTGTCCAGCACCTTCAAGTACAGGGAGGTGGCTGAGGATCTCAGGAACCCCTCCCAACATGTGATGCTGACAGAGGGCGCTGGAACCGGGGCTTCCAGTGGGGCCCCATGAATATGGATTCTGTTGCTGCTGAGGGCTTTGTCTCGCTGGGTTTCGCAGCGTATAACCAGTACTTCACACCTGCCGTCATCACGCAGAGAATGAGGCTGACCGCTCCCAAGAGTCAACAATACCATCCAGCAGTCGCGATCCTTTCTATTTGCCCAAGGGCACTGAAAACTTGTGTCCACACAAAAACTTGCACGCGGATATATGCAGCCTCATTCACCACTGCCCAAACTCAGACACAACCAAGACATCTTCAGCGGGGAGCAGATAAACCATGTCACCTCCAGACAACAGGATATAAAAGGGAATAGCCTACGAAGCTGCAAAGACATGAAGGAGCCAGGCGTGGTGGCTCACACCTGTAACTCCAGCACTTGGGAGACCAAGGTGGGAGGATCACTGAGGTCAGGAATTCGAGATCAGCCTGGCCAACATGGTGAAACGCCGTCTCTACTGAAAATATAAAAACCAGCCAGGCATGGTGGCGCGTGCCTATAATCCCAGCAACCCCAGAGGCTGAGGCAGGAGAATGGCTTGAACCTCAGGCGGCGGACATTGCAGAGCCAAGATCGCGCCACTGCTTTCCAGCCTGGGTGGCAGGGTGAGACTCTGTCTCAAAAAATAAAAGACACGGCCGGGCGCGGTGGCTCACGCCTGTAACCCCAGCACTTTGGGAGGCCGAGGCAGGAGGATCACGAGGTTAATAGATCCAGACCATCCTGGTCAACATGGTGAAACCCCGTCTCTACTAAAAATACCAAAAATTTAGCTGGGCATGGTGGCGCGTGCCTGTAATCCCAGCTACTCAGGAGGCTGAGACAGGAGAATTGCTTGAACCCAGAAGGCAGAGGTTGCGGTGAGCCGAGATCGCGACATTGCACTCCAGCCTGGGTAACAAGAGTGAAACTCCGTCTCAAAAATAATAATAATAAAAAAATTAAGTTACTTGAATTTGTGATATAGCTAACTTAAGTTGGAACCTGTATACTGCCATCTTATAAAAGACAAAAATGTTTCCATTCTCTTCAAGGACTGCTAACCTTGGTTTCTGTAAATTGCTAGATCATTTGCAGGATGCAAAGAGAGGTAAAGCTGCATACCTTCTCTTATCTGCCAGAATTGCTGGCCTTTGTTTCCCAGAGTAAGCACCCCCAGATCATTCCATCCTGGCGCCAAGCAACTGAAAATCTATGGATCCCACCCCTACCCAGATGATGTGTAAATGAATGCTAATCTTAGCATCTGTGAACCCTTAAATAACAATCACAATGTCAAATAGTCCCCTGGCCCTCGAAAGGTCCGGAACCCCCTCACCCTCCTCTCCGCCCAGAAGGTGATTTGAATCCATTGGCCCTCGGAATTTCTGAAGCCCCTCACCCTCGTCTTAGCCTGGGAGGTGATTGACAGCTTTCATTCCCATCTCCACCCCGACTCCCAAGGTGGTTTTGCGGGTATAAAAAGGTCTTATCTGTCTTCTTTCGGGGCCACGGGTTGGAGAGACGTGAGTCCTCCGTGGTCGCCAGCAATAAACCCTGTAATTTGGCATACTTTTGTTCTGGTGTTGACTTTCTGTGCTGAGTACAATATAACAAATTCTGGTCAAATACCATAATACCAAGTTTATCATCTTGATATTTTAAGTGTTCAGCTCTGTGGCATTAAGTACGTTCACACTGTCACCATCCATCCCCAGAACTCTTTTTTTTTTTTTTTTTTGGAGACAGAGTCTTACATGAGCTGCCTCGCCCAGCCCAGAACTCTCATCTTGCAAGACTGAAACCCTGTGGCATTAAGCATTCACTCCCCAATCCCCCTCCCCCAGGCCCTGGCACCCAGCATTCTATTGTAACAACCTAACTTGTGCTAGCCTGACCGACCCCATCTTAGGCCCCCCCCACTCCCCCCACCATTTCTCCCTCGAGTGCATACCTGGGCCACAATGTGCTGCGCACGTTGTGCTTAAAACTATAAAAACATAACCGTTGTAAACATACTCTGCTTAGCAAACCCCTTGCTATTGTGAACACCCCTTAGTTAATTACATGGAAGGTACCAAATGCCCCTTCGGTAACCAGCAATCCTGGGAACCACTCGTGTGTACCCTCCTCAGTTAATCAATCATGGGCGCCTCCTCCCTAACCTGCCCATTCTGCTTCTGTAAAATTCTGCAAGCAACGTATGAAAGGAAATCAAACCCCTTCCTCAGGACCAAGAGATTTTAAGCGTAAGCTGGCTCTCGGTCGCCGGCAGTAAAGAGCTCACAATCCAGTTTCAGAGTGTGCTGTTTTCCTGTCCACTCGCTCGGATAAAACATTTGGAGGCCCCAGTGAGATATTTGCCACTGGGCACGGACTGGACTCAATCTGGCCTGCCCTGGGTAGGTGGACTTAGGGGAGGTGCCCCCCGAGACATTCCAGGGACCTGCAGGCCACCCCTTTCCGGAGGAGAGTGGATTGACTCCCGGTGGGCTCCACCAAATTTTTCTTCCAAGTCCTCAGTCCTGCTCCACGGAGAAGGTAAGCCAGGCCTAACCTGGTGATTCCTGAGAAGCACGGGAGTCACCAATCACCGGAGCGTCGGCATTAACAGTGGTGACTCCTGTTGTCTGCTTTCTGCCTGGTCTGAGAAATTTCTCCTGTATGCTTGTTTTCTGACTCTGGAAACCCAGAGTCCCCAGTTCTGTTCTCCTGTCTGGTTTGGAGGGGCACTGGCCCTGTCAAAAGCAAATCAGGTGTTTTTGCAGGGAAAACTGTACAAAACATTCACCAGTCTTGGATTTCTGGCACCACAGAGGTTGTTGGCGCTTAAATTGTCAGACCCCTCACCCCAATGACTGGGCTAGCCTTTCCTTAAATCAGTAAATTCAGAAGAATCATCCTGTTAGCCTACTTGTCCACCTTTATTGTCATTCCATAACTTTCCCTGTTCCCTTAAATAAGGCACTATGCCAGGAGACTTACACCTGTACAGCCCCACTCCGCCTACACCCCCAAACACCCTACTCCGCCTACACCCCCTACACCCCCTACTCTCACTACTCTGCCTATACCCCCACTCCACCTACACACCCTACTCCGCCTACACCCCCTACTGTGCCTACTCCACCTACTCCTCCTACACCCCCGACTCCTACACCCCCTACATCCCATACACCACCTACTCTGCCTACACCCCATACATTCCCTACTACACCTATACCCCCCACACTCCCTATTCCCCCTATACCCCCCACACTCCCTACTCCCCCTACTCCTATACCCCCCACACCCCTACTCCACCTATACATACTGCACTCCCTACTCCCCCTAAGCCCCCACACCCCTACTCCGCCTATGCACCCCACACTCCCTACTCCCTCTAAGCCCCCACACCCCTACTCCGCCTATACACCCTACACTCCCTACTCCCCTACTCCCCCTAAACCTCCACACCCCTACTCCACCTATACCCCTACACTCCCTACTCCCCCTAAATCCCCACACCCCTACTCCACCTATACCCCCTACGCTCCCTACTCCCCCTACATCCCCATAACCCCTACTCCACCTATACCCCCCCACACTCTACTCCCCTTATACCCCCACACTTCCTACTCTGTCAATACCCCTAAACTCCCTACTCCCCCTCCACCCCCACACCCCTACTCCGCCTACACCCCCTACACTCCCTACTCAACCTAAACCCCCACACCGCCTACACCCCCTACTCTCACTACTCCTACACCCCCACATCCCTACTCTGCCTGTACCCCATATATTCCCTACTCCCCCACACCCCTACACCTCCACACCCCCTACACTGCCTACACCCCCTACTCCCCCTACTCTCACTACTCCTACACCCCCACATCCCTACTCTGCCTGTACCCCATATATTCCCTACTCCCCCACACCCCTACACCCCCACACCCCCTACACTGCCTACACCCCCTACTCCTCTTCTATTTTCCTCTTTGGCAACTCTCCAGTCTTCTGGAAAACTTGAGTAGTCTTTTCCCTGTAACCTGGCAAGTCCACCATCTCTGGACTGGGCCCTGTCCTCCCTCTTCAAGCCTAAAAGAAAAGGCTGAATTTAAATATTCAGCCTCTAAGTCATGGAGGCATCAAAGGTACCTTGGGTACAAAGCCAAGCAAAAAAGCGTTTTCCACTGCACAGAGCCTTCCCAGGTTTTCCCCATAATGAATAACTCTGCCTCCTGTCCCCAGCCTCCTAGCCCTCTCTTCACGGTACGTTAAAAAATTTCTCCCTGGGCTTCTCAGACGAGTATGGAGTGCGCCTTACAAAGAGTAGACTTCGAACTCTCTGTAAAATGGCCCAACTTTAAAACTGGATGGCCCCCTGCAGGGTCTCTGGATCCCCGGACAGTTCAGGCTGTGTGGGGGGTCGTTGCTGGAACACCCGGACACCCTGATCAGTTTCCCTGCGTTGATGAGTGGCTGGCCTTCCTTCAGAACCCTCGCCCTTGGCCACAGTCCTGTGCCGCCCATCACCTCTTATCCAAGGTCCTCGCAAGCCCAACTTCTCCTTTGTGCAGACCCTTGGCTCACTGTCCCTCCTATTCTGCCTCCTTCAAAGCAAAAGAAAAACAAGCCCCTTCTTCCCTTGCCTCCGCCCTGCTCTCCACCTGCTCCCCTGGAATCCCCTTCCGTCTCCTCGTCCTCATCTCCTGTGGTCCCCCCACCACTGCCACCCCTCAAACCGCCATCTCCTGTGGCCCCTGCGCCTACTGCCTCTTCACTACAGCCCAGCCAGAAAAGGCTGTTCCACTGCTTCCCTTAAGGCAGGCACTGCCCCGCAGGCAGTGACAGCTCTGCCCGTTTTAGGTCTGTGTTCCCTTTTCTACTTTTGACCTGTACACCTGGAAGACTCAAAACCCCCCTTTTCTGAGAAAACCCAGGTCCTGACTGCACTGGTGGAGTCTGTGCTTCAAACTCACCGGCCCACCTAAAATAATTGTCAGCAGCTTCTTCCAACTCTCATCTAACAAACAAACAAAAAAACGTGTTCATAGAGAGGCGGCAGCGCCCAGGACCTCCCAGAGGAGGTTCTTCCTTCCCTTCTCCCAACCTGATTGAAGCCCAAACACCTGGTGGGGGCGGGGGAGCTTTGAACAATTTCCACCTCTATCTCCTTGCTGGTACTAAGGGAGCCAACCAGAAACCCACATCTGTCTAAGAGAACTGATATCCGGGAGCGTTTCTGGAATGCCTCCAGGAGGCTTATCAAATTTACGCCCCATTTAATCCAGCGGCCCCCAAAAATAGCCATGCTATTTGGCGTTTGTAGCCCGGGCAGCCCCCAATATTTGGAGAAAGTTACAAAAACTTAAGCAATTGTTAAAATGAATATTTCCCAACTCCTGAAAACAGCTCAAAGGGTTTTTAACAATCAAAACAATAAAAAACAAAACCAGGCTGGGCATCCGAAAGGCAGCTAACCGGGCACACGAGAGGCAGCTAACCGGGCATCCGAAAGGCAGCTAACTGGGCATCCAAAAGGCAGCTAACTGGGCATCCAAAAGGCAGGCAGAAGTCACAGCTGCCACCATCCAGGGAACTAAAGGATCCTATACAAAAAAGCTACACTGGGGAAAGGCCCAAGGCAAAAGCTCAGGAATCCCGTGGGAGGGAAAAAACACCCCTACAACAAAATCAACGTGCATATTGTCAAAAAAACACTGAAAAACTAAATGCCCAGAAAAGCCACAGAAAAAGGTTCTCACTCTCCCCGAAACAAGGAACTTTAAAAAAAACTAACGGGGCCGGGGCTGCCTTTCCCTCAGCCCTGGGAGCCCATGGTTACTGCCACCGTCAGGGCCAGCCGGTGCGCTTCTGAATCGACACACAGGGCGGAGCACGCTGGACTGCAAGCACCTTGGGTAGCGTCTCTAACAAAAAGGTTGCCGTTCGAGGTGCCACAGGAGCCATCCAGAAATCTCCTGTCACCCACACACAGAAGTGAATTTGGGTCAAAAAAGAGTAACCCATTTGTTTCTGTAATGCCAGAGTGCCCTTTCTGCCTCCTCAAACCGGTCCTACTCCACAAGCTACAGGCATCCATCTCTTTCTCGGCAAATCAAGCCCATCTCACGCTGGGGGCCTCAGCAGCCCTTACCGCACAGCTCCTACTAACTGCCCCCCTGTCAGAGAAGCATCTCTTAACTCCATCCTCACAACCAATAAAAAGTAAAACCAGCCCTCTCCTACAAAATCTGCAAACTCTCTTTCCCCAAGTCTGGGCAGACTCAACCCCCCCAGGGCTGGCAAAACATCACCCAACAGTAGTTGTAAAGCTCCTGGCCACTGCTCTACCCGTCCACGTAAAACAATATCCTGTAGGTCAGCGGGCTCCAGAGGGAATCAGTCCCCACATTCAACGGCTATTGCAGGCCAATATACTCTGTGGCACATATACACCATGGAATATTATGCAGCCATCAAAAACGATGAGTTTGTGTCCTTTGTAGGGACATGGATGAACCTGGAAACCACCATTCTCAGCAAACTGACACAAGAACAGAAAATCAAACACTGCATGTTCTCACTCATAGGCGGGTGTTGAACAAAGAACACATGGACACAGGGAGGGGAGCCTCACACACTGGGGTCTGTCGGGGGGAAATAGGGGAGGGACAGCGGGAAGTGGGAGTTGGGGAGAGAGAGCATGGGGAGAAATGCCAGATACAGGTGAAGGGGAGGAAGGCAGCACATCACACTGCCACGTGTGCACCTATGCAACAATCTTGCATGTTCTCCACATGTACCCCAAAACCTAAAATGCAACAAAAAAATAAAATAAAAATATACTCACACCTTGCCAGTTCACCTGGAATACCCCATTTTTGCCAGGCCAAAAGCCCAAAACAAGTAACTACCGGCCCATATAGAACCTGTGGGAAGTCAACAAGCAGACGGTCACGGTACATGTGACTCTTCTCAGCTTGCTCCCACCAGAACATGCAGTATACACTGTCTTAAACTTTACAAATGCCCCCCCGCCTTTTTTTTTTTTTTAAACAGAGTCTCTCTCTGTTGCCCAGGCTGGAGTGCAGCTGCAGCATGATCTCGGCTCACTGCAACCTCTGCCTCCCGGGTTCAAGCAATTCTCTGCCTCTGTCTCCCAAGTATCTGGGATTACAGGCGCGCACCACCACGCCCAGCTAATTTCTGTACTTTTAGTAGACGGAGTTTCACCATCTTGGCCAGGCCAAGTCTTGAACTCCTGACCCCGTGATCCACCCACATCAGCCTCCCAAAGTGCTGGGATTACAGGCGTGAGCCACCGCGTCTGGCTTAAAAAAAATGCTTTCTTTGCCATCCCTCTGGCTCCCAAAAGCCAGCCAAGTTTGGTTTTGAATGAACAAATCCCAGTTCTGGGGATACCACCCAACTCACCTGGACTCAGCTGCCTCGGGGGTTTCAAAACTCCCCGACTCTTTTTGGAAAGGCCTCCAGCAAAACCTCATACCTTTTCAAGCCAGCCACCCTAACGACTCTACTCCAGTATGTAAACAACCTGTGATTCCGTACGAACACGATTGACAGCTGCCTGCCATATGCTAAAAACTTTCTTCCCGTCCTACAGGAGCTCAGGTCTGGTCTCGGCCAAAAAGGCCCAGCTTTGCCTCTCCGAAGTCTCCTCCCTGGGGTACAAAATAAACAAAGGGAGAATGACACTCACCAGGGCTCAAAAGAACAGCCCTGCAAGTCCCCGCTCCCACCACCAAAACACACGTGCTGAAATCCAGCTGCTCTGCTTCCTAACCCAGGCATCACCGTCACCGTCACCGTCACCGTCACCGTGCCTGTCCCTAACTGCCAAACACTGCTACAAATCACGGAAACCGGCCAACCTCATCTCCAGAATGTTCCGTGGAGAAGGCGGCCGCCACTGCATTTACAAACTGTAGCAGCTTCCTTAAGCAGGAGTGGGGAAAGCCTGTGCAGCCGTCACCACGTGACAAACCAACTGTGGGCCCAAGCGCTGCCAGCTGGCACTTCCGCACGAAAGGGTGAAATATAACTGCCCTCCCATGGGGTCAGGACAAGCGTATTAGTATTTACACGAGCAGCCAATATGCGTTTGCCACAGTCCACGTACATGAAGCCACCTATCAAAAGCCTGGGCTACTCTAACCTCCGCTGGAAAAACTATTAAAAAAAAAAAAAAATTCTAGCCCTGCTCAAGGCTGTTCGGCTCCCCCAGCAGGTGGCTGTAATTCACTGCAAAGGGCGCCAGAAATAAAACACAGCTGCTGCGGGGAGAAACCAGAAGGCAAATTCAGCTCCTAACACCGCCGCTCTCCCGGTTACCCCGTTAACTTTGCTTCCAGCTCTTTCTTTCCCACAGCCTAGTCTACCCAACCACCCAACATACTCTTCAGAAAAAAAAAGCAAGCACAGCGGGCAGGATGTAGGTATCTTCAGGCCAGCAAAAAACAAAATAAATGGTAAATCCTCCCAGACTCGAGTGTCTTCCTGCCTCAATCTCTTAGACGGGTCCTAGCCAACCAATTTCATTCCACCACCCACTTAGGGGGCACCCAGCTGGCTCTTACCAGGCTGTTTCAAAACTGCTCAGCTTCAGAACTTAGCTAACCAGGCAGCCTCGCGGTGTCCCGCCTGTGCGCCAGGAAACACCAAACAAGAGCCCAGGCCTAAGCGGGGCCACCGCTCCGGGCACGTGGTCCAGGAAAGAGCTGGAAAATAAACGAGAGCCACAGCGGGCAGGATGTAGGTATCTCCTAGAAATGGTAAACACTGTCTCTGGATGGACTAAGGCATTTGCCACCAAAAACAAAACTGCCTCTACAGCAGTTAAATTCTTGCTGAATAAAATCAGCCCTCAACATGGGCTGCCAGAGGGTCCAATAATGGGCCGGCCTCATTCAGTATACAATGGAAGGTCCACTGCGCCTCCCCGCCCGAGCTCTGGGCGGGCAAAATGCATAACCATACTCTAAAAAATACCTACAAAACGAATCTTGAAAACCGGTAAGGGTTAAACCTCCTTCCCTTAGCCCTTCTTAGAGTCAAACGCACCCCCTTACAAGGCGGGGTTCTCTCCTTTTAAAATCGTGTATGGAAGGGCTCCGCCTATCTTGCCTAAGCTAAGGAATAGCCATTTAGCAGAAATATCCCAAGCAAACTTGTTATATACCTGCAGTCTCTCCAAAGGGTTCAAAACACCACCTAGCACCGCCCCCAGGGAGCGCACCCTAATCCAGTTCCTAACCAAACTGGGCCCAGCCGCCCTTTCTGTCCTGGTAACCTGGTGTATGTCAAAAAGTTCCAGAAAAAAGAACTCACGCCTGCCTGGAAAAAACGCACACTGCCGTCCTTACCACAGCGTGGGCCTGAAAGTGAGCGGAGTCCCTGCTTCAGTCCATCACTCCCTCATCCAGAAGGCCAGCGAAGCCCGCAGGAGAAGCACGGGTCACAGCCTGGGTCGGGTCCTTTCAAACTGCCGGTAAAGTCGACAAACCAGCTTTTCTAGCTTGTCTTCTCCACCTGTTTCCGCCCACAAGGCCCGTCCGTCTGAAGCCATTACAGACACCCTTCAAAGGGGGCAAGAAAACTTACACCTGTCGCCAGCCTGTGAACCCTCATCCTCAACTGGTTCCTGAATTTCCTACAACAGCACGTAGTGTGTCAGACATTTGTGTCTCAAGGCCCAATAAAACCCTCTTGTTATAACTGAAGATCAATAATGCTTTGACTTTCCAAAACACAAGAGGGGAATGTAACAACCTAACTTGTGCTAGCCCGACCGGCCCCGTCTCAGCCGTGAGCCTGACCGACCCCGTCTCAGCCGTGAGCCTGACCACCGACCCCGTCTCAGCCGTGAGCCTGACCGGCCCCGTCTCAGCCGTGAGCCCGACCGGCCCCGTCTCAGCCGTGAGCCTGACCACCGACCCCGTCTCAGCCGTGAGCCTGACCACCGACCCCGTCTCAGCCGTGAGCCTGACCACCGACCCCGTCTCAGCCGTGAGCCTGACCGACCCCATCTCAGCCGTGAGCCTGACCACCGACCCCGTCTCAGCTGTGAGCCTGACCACCGACCCCGTCTCAGCCGTGAGCCTGACCACCGACCCCGTCTCAGCTGTGAGCCTGACCGACCCCATCTCAGCCGTGAGCCTGACCACCGACCCCGTCTCAGCCGTGAGCCTGACCACCGACCCCGTCTCAGCCGTGAGCCTGACCACCGACCCCATCTCAGCCGTGAGCCCGACCGGCCCCGTCTCAGCCGTGAGCCTGACCACCGACCCCGTCTCAGCCGTGAGCCTGACCACCGACCCCGTCTCAGCCGTGAGCCTGACCACCGACCCCGTCTCAGCCGTGAGCCTGACCACCGACCCCGTCTCAGCCGTGAGCCTGACCACCGACCCCGTCTCAGCCGTGAGCCTGACCACCGACCCCGTCTCAGCCGTGAGCCTGACCACCGACCCCATCTCAGCTGTGAGCCCGACCGGCCCCGTCTCAGCCGTGAGCCTGACCACCGACCCCGTCTCAGCCGTGAGCCTGACCACCGACCCCGTCTCAGCCGTGAGCCTGACCGACCCCATCTCAGCCGTGAGCCTGACCACCGACCCCGTCTCAGCTGTGAGCCTGACCACCGACCCCGTCTCAGCCGTGAGCCTGACCACCGACCCCGTCTCAGCCGTGAGCCTGACCACCGACCCCGTCTCAGCTGTGAGCCTGACCGACCCCATCTCAGCCGTGAGCCTGACCGGCCCCGTCTCAGCTGTGAGCCTGACCACCGACCCCGTCTCAGCCGTGAGCCTGACCACCGACCCCGTCTCAGCCGTGAGCCTGACCACCGACCCCGTCTCAGCTGTGAGCCCGACCGACCCCGTCTCAGCCGTGAGCCTGACCACCGACCCCGTCTCAGCCGTGAGCCCGACCGGCCCCGTCTCAGCCGTGAGCCTGACCACCGACCCCGTCTCAGCTGTGAGCCTGACCGACCCCATCTCAGCCGTGAGCCTGACCACCGACCCCGTCTCAGCTGTGAGCCTGACCGACCCCATCTCAGCCGTGAGCCTGACCACCGACCCCGTCTCAGCTGTGAGCCTGACCGACCCCATCTCAGCCGTGAGCCTGACCGACCCCATCTCAGCTGTGAGCCTGACCGACTCCATCTTAGTCCCCACCCCCACCCCCTACCATTTCTCCCTCGAGTGCATACCTGGGCCACACTGTGCTGGGTCACGTTGTGCTTAAAACTATAAAAACATAACCATTGTAAACATATCCTGCTTAGCAAACCCCTTGCTATTGTGAACACCCCTTAGTTAATTACATGGAAGGTACCGAATGCCCCCTCGGTAACCAGCAATCCTGGGAACCACTCGTGTGTACCCTCCTCAGTTAATCAATCATGGGCGCCTCCTCCCTAACCTGCCCATTCTGCTTCTGTAAAATTCTGCAAGCAACGTATGAAAGGAAATCAAACCCCTTCCTCGAGGCCAAGAGATTTTAAACATAAGCCGACTCTTGGTCGCCAGCAGCAAAGAGCTCACAATCCAGTTTCAGAGCGTGGCGTTTTCCTGTCCACTCGCTCGGGTAAAACACTACTTTCTGTGTCTATGGAGGTGACCACTCCAGGGACTTCCCATCAGTGGAATCACTCAGTATTTGTCTTGCTGTGACTGGCTTATTTCACTCAGCATAATGTCCTCAAGGTTCATCCATGACATAGCGTAGGTTAGAATTCCCTTCCTCTCTAAGGCTGCCTTTTTTTTTTAAGGCAGGATCTCACTCTGCCACGCGGGTGGGAGAGCAGTGGTGCAGTCACAGGTCACTGCAGCCTCAATCTCCTGGGCTCAAGTGATCTTCTCACCTCATTTTTTTTATTTTTTATAGAGACAAGTTTTCACTATGTTGCCTGTGATATAGCTGGCCTAGTTAGAACTGGTACAATGCCATTTTATAAATTGACAAAACTGTTTCCATTCTCCTCACAATGACTGCTAACCTTGGCTTCTGTAAACTGCTAGATTATTTGCAGGATGCAAATTGAGGTAAAGCTGCATCCCTTCTCTTATCTGTAACTGCCAGAATTGCTGGCCTTTGTTTACCAGAGTAAGCACCCCCAGATAATTCCATCCTGGCGCCAAGTAAATAAAAATCTATGGATCCCACCCCTACCCAGACGATGTGTAAACGAATGTTAATCTTAGCATCTGTGAACCCCTTAAATGACAATCAGAATGTCAAATAGTCCACTGGCCCTCAGAATGTCTGAAGCCCCTCACCCCATCCTCTCCCCTCACCCCCAAGGTGATTTTTACGGGTATAAAAGGTCTTGTCACCCTCTTTTACGGGGCCATGGGTGGGAGAGACGTGAGTCCTCCGTGGTTGCTGGCAATAAACCCTGCAATTTGGCATACTTTTGTCTTGGTGTTGACTTTCTGTGCTCAGTCCGATACAACATTGCCCATGCTGGCCTCGAACTCCTAGGCTCAAGTGATCCTTCCACCTTGGCCTCCCGAAGTGCTAGGATTACAGACTTGAGCCACTGCACTCAGCCTAAGGCTGTCTGCTGTTTTTATTTATTTATTTATTTTTACATGGGTTTTTGGCCAGGTGCAGTGGCTCATGCCTGTAATCCCAGCACTTTGGGATGAGGTGGGCAGATCATGAGGTCAGTAGTTCGAGACTAACCTGACCAACATGGTGAAACCCTGTCTCTACTAAAAATACACAAAATTAGCTGGGCGTGGTGGCAGGCGCCTGTAATCCCAGCTACTAGGGAAGCTGAGGCAAGAGAATTGCTTGAATCCGGGAAGCGGATGTTGCAGTGAGCTGAGATCGCACCACTGTACTCCAACCTGGGCAACAGATCAAGACTTGTCTCAAAAAAAAGAAGTTTTTATGGAAAGTAACACAGGGTACAGAAAATTCCAACAGTACAAGGCAGACACACGGTTTCCTCTTCCCCAAAGCTGTCATGTCCAGCATCCTCCAGCAGGTAGTTGGGCAGTGTTGCCTGGGTACAGCTTGTGCCCGAGTGGGGCAATGTCATCATCACCTTCACTTGCTGGGGTTCCCCCCACACCCTGTGCTGGCTCCGTGTTTTTCCTGGGGTGGGATATTGGGGGGGCACCTCCCTGTTCTGTGCTGCTGTGTGAATATCCTCCCAGGGACGTCTTCCTGTGTGTGTGTCTGGCAGAAATTCCTAGACATGGAACCCTTGAGTGTAAGGACATATGTGTCACTATTTCAATGAGTCATCTCCAAAGCACCCTGCAGCGGCATCGCCAGACTGCCGGTGTGCCCAGCCTCCTCCACATGGCTTTCCACTCTGCTCACAGGGAAGACGGTGGAGGGGTGGCCCCGGGCATGGGTTTCCCCATGTGCTGAGGGTGTTCTCAGCCACCTCTTTCCCCAGGTCATTGACGTGAAACTGATTTTGTCATCAGGGGCCGTGGAAACTTCCCAGAAATGGGAGCGAGGCCTCTGAGACCCTGCCCCAGCTAGACTCTCTCCCGGCTTCAGAGTCCCTTCCTGGAGCTGGGCGCTGACTCTGTCCAGGACTCTGCTCAGTCACTTCCTGACTGGTCCCGGAGTGCTCAAGTGTGTGATGAGATTAGGGCTCCCTGAGGCAGGAAATGGCCACACTGGACCCCTCCCTAGTTCATTTTATCTTCCCCAACCCTCATGGCCCCCCACTAGGTCCTCCTGCTCCCAGACCCCTGCCCCAGCCTGTCCCCTATTCCCTGTAGCCCAGCCCAGAGTACACTGGGGCCAGAATCCCCCATACTGAGTTCCTCCAGGGCACGATAGGTCAAGGCCTCTCTAAGGCAGGGAGGGACAACATTAAGGGGCCATGTGCAGGAGAGAGAAGGGGTACTCACCCCCGAGCCTCAGTTTCTTCATCTGCACAGTAAGCCCCCATCTGATGGTGCCCAGGAGTGGGAGTGTGCTGGGACTAGAGGAGGAAGGCCCCCAGAGAGGCTGGTTCGGCCCCCCACCTCCAGCCTGGCCACCTCGCTGAAGGTCCCCTGTTGCTGCACCTGGGCCAGGACAGGAGCAGAGGGGCTTCAAGAACCAAGGATAGGGCTGGGCGCAGTGGCTGACGCCTATAATTCCAACACTTTGGGAGGCCAAGGCAGGAGGATCTCCTGAGGTCAGGAGACCAGCCTGGCCAACATGGTGAAACCCCACCTCTACTTAAAATACAAAAATTAGCCGGGGTTGGTAGCACTTGCCTATAGTCCCAGCTACACAGGAGGCTGAGACAGGAGAATGACTTGAACCTGGGAGATGGAGGTTGCAGTGAGCAGAGATTGTGCCAGTGCACTCCAGCCTGGGTGACAGAGCAAGACTTGTCAAAAAAGAAAAAAGAACCAAGAATGGAGCCAGGCACAGTGGCCCATGCCTGTCATCGCCGCACTTTGGGAGGCCGAGGTGGGCAGATCACCTGAGGTCAGGAGTTCAAGACCAGCCTAGCCAACATGGCAAAACTCTGTCTCTAATAAAAATACAAAAATTAGCTGGGTGTGGTGGCAGACTCCTGTAGTCCCAGCTACTTGGGAGGCTGAGGTGGGAGAATTGCTTGAACCCAAGAGGCAGAGGTTACAGTGAGCCGAGATCCTGCCACTGCACTCCAGCCTGGGTGACAGAGCAAGACTCATAAAATAAATAAATAAATAAATAAATAAATAAATAAATAAATAAATAAAACCAAGGATGGACATCTCCCAGAGGGCAATAACAGCAAGGGTCCCCTCAGACCCCCAGAGGAGGACAAGCTCAGCGTCAGGGACTCTGGCTGAACCTCGAGAGTCCCTCAGCCATCCTCAGCTGACCCCATATGTGCAAGGCACCCCAGTATGTGTGTCTCACTTTGCTCTCACCCAGGGGACACACAGGCGGCTGTAGGGGAGACAGCGATGCCAGGGGCAGCATTTGCCAAGAACCAAGGGGACTTCCAGGGGTGTGGCTCACCTGCTCTGACCTCTGATCTCTGACCCAGGGAAGCAGGGCTCTTCTTATCCTACCCACCAGAGACAGGAAGCGGGGGGGAGGTGACTTCAGGAAGGGCCCAGAGCCTCTCATGGGTGTGGGGATTGGGGTGAGGACAGGGCTGTCACGAAAACAGCAGCTGCAGATGTGAGCAGCTGGTAGGAAGTGGCCACTCAGGCCGCAGATGCTTCCTGGGCTGGTCAGGAGCTGGGGGTGCTGGCTGCAGCTGGGACCCCCTCTGCATCTCACTGGCCTGGCATCTAGATCCCTGGGAGGCACCACAGCTGGACACAGCCACCTGGGGCAGCCCAGCCTCCGTAGCCTACATTCCTGTCCTCCTATAGGCTGGCTGGCGAGCAGCCCTGGTGGGTCTGCGGGGCAGCGGCCGTGCCTTCCCAGTTTATCTCCCCGGCACGATCTGCTCATCCGCCCAGTATTCCAGAAGCTGGGGCTCGGTGTCTGCTGAGGCAGGAAGCCCGAGGCAACAGCCCAGGGCAGCGGAGCCCAGTTATGTGCGGGCATCTGCTCCTGTGGCCCCTGGTGCTGGGGTTCAGCCTGTTGGGTGGTGCCCAGACTCCCAGCATCTATGATGAGGGCGAGAGCACCGGAGGCGGCGATGGTGAGTGGTCCTGGCCTCAGGGTGCAGAGACGGGGTTACATCAGGGATGGAGCAGGGGCCTGGAGCTGGGTAGGGGGAGGCTGGGAAGTTGGGGCCTTCAGCCTGGTCCACTCTGTACCCTGTCCCTGACCCCATAGGGCTGGGCTATTCCCTTGAACGTCACATCCAGCTGTATCCCAGCAGGGCAGACCCCAGGCTCTTAGCACCTCCCTCCCTCCTACCTGTTGTCACCCACTGAGGCAGGGGCTGACCAACGTCCCCTCTCTTCCCCAGACAGCACGCCCTCAATCCTGCCCGGCCCCCGCGGCTACCCAGGCCAAGTCTGTGCCAATGACAGTGACATCCTGGAGCTCCCGGACAGCTCACGGGCGCTGCTTCTGGGCTGGGTGCCCACCAGGCTGGTGCCTGCCCTCTATGGGCTGGTCCTGGCGGTGGGGTTGCCGGCCAACGGGCTGGCGCTGTGGGTGCTGGCCACGCGGGTACCACGGCTGCCCTCCACGGTGCTGCTGATGAACCTGGCAGCCGCTGACCTCCTGCTGGCCCTGGTGCTGCCCCCAAGGGTCCTGTACCACCTGCGTGGCCAGCGCTGGCCCTTTGGGGAGACTGCCTGCCGCTTGGCCACGGCCTCGCTCTATGGCCACATGTATGGCTCGGTGCTGCTGCTGGCTGCCGTCAGCCTGGATCGCTACCTGGCCCTGGTGCACCCGCTGAGGGCCCGCACCCTGCGTGGCCGGCGCCTGGCCCTGGGACTCTGCGTGGCCGCCTGGCTCATGGCGGCTGCCCTGGCACTGCCCCTGGTGCTGCAGCAGCAGACCTTCCAGCTGGCGCACTCTGATCGTGTGCTCTGCCATGACGCGCTGCCCCTGGATGCCCAGGCCTCCCACTGGCAACCGGCCTTCACCTGCCTGGCGCTGCTGGGCTGTTTCCTGCCGCTGCTGGCCATGCTGCTGTGCTATGGGGCCACCCTGCGCACGCTGGCGGCCGGTGGCCGGCGCTATGGCCACGCGCTGAGGCTGACTGCGCTGGTGCTGGCCTCCGCCGTGGCCTTCTTCGTGCCCAGCAACGTGCTGCTGCTGTTGCATTACTCGGACCCAAGCCTGGGCGCCTGGGGCAACCTCTACAGCGCCTACGTGCCTAGCCTGGCGCTGAGCACCCTCAACAGCTGCGTGGACCCCTTCGTCTACTACTACGTGTCAGCTGAGTTCCGGGACAAGGTGCGGGCGGGGCTCTTCCGACGGCCTCCCGGGGACACCGTGGCCTCCAAGGCCTCTGGGGAGGGGGGCAGCCGGGTCATGGCTACCCGCTCCTCTTCACTCCAGTGATGCAAAGTGGGGAGGGAGGTACTGGGTTCAACAGGGTCCCTTCTCCCACTTCATGTTCTTCCCGGAACCTCAGAATGTGACCTTATTTGGAAATAGGGTCATTATAACCGTCACTGGTGGAGTTCACTTTGGAGAAGGCTGGGCCTTACATCCAGTGTGCCCATCCAGAGGTCAAGCCTAGTGGCTCATGCCCGTAATCCCAGCACTTTGGGAGGCCAAGGTGGGCGGATCACCTGAGGTCAGGAGTTCAACACCAGCCTGAGCAACATGGTGAAATCCCAACTCTACCAAAATACAAAAAGTAGCCGGGTGTGGTGGTGCACGCCTGTAATCCCAGCTACTCAGGAGGCTGAGGCAGGAGGATTGCTTGAACCTGGGAGGCAGAGGTTGCAGTGAGCCAAGATTGTGCCACTGGACTCCAGCCTGGGTGACAGAGTGAGACTCTGTCTCTAATTGACTAATTAAGTTAAATTTTAAAAAGAGGAGGAGAGATGGCCAGGTGCAGTGGCTCACACCTGTAATCTCAGCACTCTGAGAGGTCGAGATGGAGGCTTGAGGCCAGGAGTTTGGGCCCAGCCTGGGCAACATAAGGAGATCCCACTCTACAAAAAAAAAAAAAAAAAAAAAAGAATGAACCAGGCATTATGGCACACACCTGTAGTCCCAGCTTCTCAAGAGGCAGAGGCAGGAGAATCCCCTGAGCCCAGGAGGTTGTGGCTACAGTGAACTATGATTGCACCACTGCACTCAAGCCTGGGCAACAGAGCAAGACCTAGTCTCAAAAATAAACAAAATTTACAAAAGAGGAGAGACAGCCGGATACCTGCCACATGCCTGTAATCCCAGCACTTTGGGAGGCCAAGGTGGGCAGATCACCTGAGGCCAGGAGTTCAATACCAGCCTGGCCAACATCGTGAAACCCTGCCTCTATTAAAAATATAAAAATTAGCCGGGCGTGGTGGTGGGCACCTGTAGTCCCAGCTATTTGGGAGTCTGAGGGAGGAGAATCACTTGAACCTGGGAGGCAGAGGTTGCAGTCAGCTGAGACTGTGCCACTGCACTCCAGCCTGGGTGACAGAGTGACTCTGTCTCAAAAAAATAAAGAAAGAGGAGTACACAGAGACAGAGAAGAAAGCCATGTGGTGAGAGGCAGAGATGGGAGTGGTACGGACAAGAACAGACTAAGGGACATGAAGATGCCAAGCGCAGCGGGCAGCCAGCAGCAGCCAGGAGACAGGCCTGGGGCGGGCTCTCCCTCACAGCCTCCAGAGGGAACCGGCCCTGCCGCCACCTTGACCTTGGACTTCTGGCCTGCAGAACTGTGGGACAGTAAACTTCCGTTGTTCACAGCTGCCGAGATAGGGGTGCTTTGTCAGGGCAGTCTAAGAATCTAAAATGGGATCAAACGCCACTTCCTGGGCCCTTTGAGGCTCTCTGGCTCGGCTACCTGGGCTGGGTGCAGCCCACGATGCTTTGGTGTCCCAAATGGGACTGGGGCTGGGGCTGCATTCCCCAGAGACTCACTGCAAGTTCCTGCCTAGGGGGCTGGGGCACTCCATCCCCACTTCCCAATGCTGAGGCCCTGTGGGCAATCCCCATATGGGCACTGAGGAAGGAGAGCTAAGCAGAATCCTGGCACAACTAAGACCTGAAGAATATCTCAGTTTACAGTATTACTACTCAGTTATTTCCTTTTATATAATCCTTGATATAATCATATATTAGTTTATAGAAGTGGGCTTCAAGATCATCTCGGTTTATAGTGTTACTACTCAGTTATTTCCCTTCATATAATCCTCTATCACAACCATACGTTAGTTCACAGAATGAGTGCCTAAAGAATATCTCACTACTCAGTTATTTCCATATATATATACAAAACTATATCTTAGTTCATAATCGGAGGAACGCCTAGAGTGGACACAGTGCAGAGCATGAATTAAGGAATAAGCAGCTTATAATCAGAGGAATGTCTAGAGCAGACACAGTGCAGAGCATGATTTAAGGGAAAACAGTTATACCAGGACAAGAATCCAAGGCCCAGGCGGCAGCGTTCAGTATCATAAAGATACCCGCTGTGTGGCAGGCTTGGGGCGAGAGCCACTCCTCCTGATAAAGGAGTTGTAGGACCTTGCTCCAGTTCTTGTGGAAGGCTCCCCTTAGCCCGGCAATCCACCTTGGTGACTGTGAACTTATCAGTTCTGGTCACTGTGCTGCTCGAAAAGCATCTTCCTATAGGACTCACTGGGAGCTGCCTGCAGGTGGTGGAAACCCTGACAGCGCTGTCACTGCTATGGGACTTAAAGCATCCTCCTATAAATCTTAGAAGTAGTTTGCCCATAGATAGAGAGAGGCATTGCACACTGCACCCTCTTGTGCACGGCCCACCTCCATGCCTCAGTGACCTAATGGGGGTGGACCCCATGTTTTATTGCTCACGACCCCATCACTATCCTTAAAGATGATTTCACTCACTGCCCTGCCCCCTAACCTATACACAATAAATACTGACACTTCTGGACATTCTGGGCCTCTCCTGACTCTGCTCATAGGTGGCGTGGCCCCCCGAGCCCAGCTGCATCTCCCTTGTACTTCTGTGTCCTGTTTCTTTATTTCTCACACCCTGCACCTCAGCACAGTATAAGGGACACCCCACAACCCTGTGGGGCCCTCAGCCCTACAGGGCCCCACCAGGCTCAGAGTCTGGTTGGCCGTTCTCATGCCCGCCAGCTTCTGGCTTTGGGATGTCTCTCGAGCAACCAGAGTAGCACCCCCAACTCTGCTCCCCAAAACTCATCATTAGTGTGACCCAGCCTCCTGCTGTCCCCTGGCTGCTGGGGATCCTCACCTTCCCACCTCTCACCTGCAGGCTGGTTCTTTTCATTTTCTGTCCACGTCACCAGGGACAAGGTGGGGCAATGTGGGGTTGGGAGGACAGTGTGTGCCGGCGGGGGGGGTTCCAGGGCTGCAGCCCTAGAAACACCCACCCTGCCCAGATGCCTGCAGCCGGCTCTAAGCCTTGCACGGGATGGGGCATAGTGCCTACGGAGGACACAGCAGGTGTTTGGGGAAGGGGAGAAGCCTCAGCCCCGGTGCGTGTGTGTGCATGCACACACACAGACACCACTGCTCACACTAGGGAGCGGCACGGGGCAGTTTCAGAGGCTGCTGGGGCATGAACTGTGGGGGCAAGGCAGAGGGTGGGGGACCACTGGACCTATGTCCCCATTGGACCTATGTCTGGTAGCCCTGGGCTGGGGGTGTCAGGGGCCCGGGACAGACACACACACACACACACACACACACACACACACAGTTCATGTGCAACTTTGAACGTGTAAATAAGATCAGTGATGTGTGTTCGTATCAATATCCTGGCGTGATCATTTACTAGCGTTTGCAAGATGTTAACCACAGGTGCGAGTGTGAGTATGAAGGGTCCCCAGGACCAGACTGTGGTCCCACAACTGCAAGTGGTTGCAGGATTATCTGAGGGTGCAGGTGTTGGACATCCATAAACCCTCCTCCCACCACTCCCACCACTCTGTAAAGCTGGCCTGTAGATGAAGACATGGGGGCTCAGGAGCCCCGGCCTGTGGACCCCCACCATCCAGCCCCTATGTCTCCAAGGGGCTGGGGTCTGCACCCATCTGTGGAACGGTCTGGAGCCCTGGGGGCTGCCCTCTGGGTTCCCGATGACTGTAGGAGGCTGAGGTCCTGCTGTGACCCTGGAGATGAGGTTTTATCTTACAACATCCTCTAGAGCAAGTGGGCACCAGGCCTCAGGCTGGGGAAGGAGCCACAGGGCCTGTCCTTTGTAGGGTGATGGGGGCCAGGGCAGCCTCAGATCTCGGCCTCTCAGGCAGCAAGAGGTGTCCGTGCTGGCAGAGATCAGGGCTGAGCAGTGTTGGCTGAAATAAATACCACCCTAGAGAAGATGGGCAAAAATGCAGATATAGGCGGGTGCCAGGGGTCACAAAAAGGGAATCAAAGCCTGCTGGTGCTGGTGGCAGGCAGGTCCCAGGGCTGGAGGCCTCAGGAGTGGGCTGGTCATCTGGGCATAGGGACGTCAGGAACTCATGGTGGGGAAGCACCGAGGTCACCCAGCCCAGGTAGCCAGGAGCTGAAAGTGCATTTGTTGGGAGCCATCTGCTTCCCCACAGGGCCTTGTGCTGTGAGCCTGAGGTCCCCTGGGGTAAAGGCAGAGGGTTCAAGAGCTGGGACAGTCTTGGGACAATTAGGGGTCATGGGTGCCCCCAAAAGGAGGCGGGGCCTTGTGTTACAGAGCAAGGCGGTGTGTTCCGTTCTGAAGTTGCACAAAGGGTGGATGTTGTTTTGCTAATCTGGTCCACATTGTTGTTTGCTCAGAAAGAGGCTTCTGGCCTCACGAGTCCTTTCTGGGAATGTTTCTTCCCCGGGAACAGAATGCCAGGCTGTGGGAGCCACCGTGGCCCCAGGAAAATGATGCCCAGCTCCAAGGCTGGGGGTTGGAGCACTGTAGCTAGGAAGGTGGGGGGGCTCCCAAGGGACCTCCAGCTGCTCCTCCCCCCTGCACCACGCCGGTGACTGCGGAGCTCACATCTGGGTCTCAGGAGTCTCATCCTAGAGATGGGCAGGTCTCTGTCATTCTGTTCCTTGGGTGCCACCTGGGCCACCAGGCAGAGTCACAGGCTGATAGGGACAGGATGCAGCCGGATGGTGTCATCCTTCTCTGAGCAGGGCAGCCGTTAGGAAGAGAAGCCACTCTGACTGGCCAGGAGAGAAGGAGAAAGATTCCTATGGGGCTGCCAGGCCTTCGGGGTGGGACCCCACACCCCTTTCCTGAACCCACCTCCACGGGGTTCAAGCCGGCTGCCACCTCCTTATTTAGATGGCAGAACCCCGCCTGGGAGGGGGACACACGGCCCAGGCCCGGCACTGCACAACTCTGCCTCCTCTCCCCTTCCAATGGACTGCAGTGATGGGCTCTGGGTGTCTACTTCCGGTAAGGGGGGAGGAGCTTGTGTCAGATCACCAATCAAATTGAAAAGGTACCCACAGAACACTACTCAGCAATACAAAGGAACAGACTGCAGGCTGGGCACAGTGGCTCACACCTGTCATCCCAGAGCTTTGGGAGGCTGAGATGGGAGGACTGCTTGAGTCCAGGAGTTTGAGGCTGCAGTGCACAATGATTATGTCTACAAACAGTCATGGCATTCCAGCTTGGGCAACATACAGAGACCTCATCTCTACAACACACACACACACACACACACACACACAACACACACACACAAACACACACACACACACACAAACACACACACACACAAACACACACACACACACACACAAACACACACACACACACCAATTAGCTGGGCATGGTGGTATGTACTTGTGGTCCCAGCTACTCAGGAGGCTTAGGCAAAAGAGTGGCTTGAACCCAGGAGATCGAGGTGGAGTGAGCGAGCCATGACTGTACCAGTACACTCCAGCCTGGGCAATACAGTGAGATCTCATTTCAAAAATAAAAAGCATACGCTGGGCACGGTGGCTCACGCCTGTAATCCTAGCACTTTGTGAGGCTGAAGCAGGTGGATCACCTGGAGTCAGGAGTTCTAAACCAGCCTGGCTAACATGGTGAAACCTCGTCTCTACTAAAAATACAAAAATTAGCTGGGCATGGTGGCAGGTGCCTGTAGTCCCAGCTACTCAGGAGGCAGAGGCAGGAGAATCACTTCAACCCAGGAGGTGGAGGTTGTAGTAAGCTGAGATTGTGCCACTGCACTCCAACCTGGGTGAGAGAGCAAGACTCTGCCTCAAAAAATAAAAAATTATGGATATACAAAACATCACAGGTGAATGAAAGAGAATCATGCTCCAAAGGTTAGCTGCTCTCTGATTCCATTCACCTGGTATTCTTGAAATGACAAAATTACAGGCAGGGAGTGGGGCCAATGGCTTAGTGTTTGCAGGTGTTGAGGGGAGAGAGCAGTGAGGTTATGGAAGAGCAGCCGGAGGGACTCTGTGCAAATGGGCTGTTTGTTAACTATAGTTAAGATCACACAAGTCTGCCCATGAGAAAACCACACGCTGCTAACTATAGGCTGAGTCTCCCTAGTCCAAAAATCCTAAATCCGAAATCCAAATCTTCTTGAGCACCGACTTGATGTGCTTAAAGGCGATGCTCATCGGAGCATTTCAGATTTTTAGATTAGGGATTTGGAACCTTAGGTAACTATATAATGCAAGCATTACAAAATCCAAAAAAATCTGAAATCCGAAACACTTCTAGTCCCAAGCATTTCAGATAATGGATCCTTGACCCATATGTATAGACACACACACACACACACACCCTGTTCACTGGGTGGGCCAGGGTGGAGGGAGGATGAATGCCCACTTTGTCCCCAGGAACTCTCAGCCTCTGACCCTCAGTCACTCCCACTGCCTGGAGGGGGCCCAGGCAGGTGGTCTGGGAAGGCTAGCAGGGGAGGGAAGTGGGGAGGCTAGTAGGGGAGGGAAGTGGGGAGACGTTGGGTCTACATCTCTGATCTCTGGGATGGGCCCAGCTCTCACCTGTCCTCCACCTCCCCTTCCGGCTCAGGGTCTGAGTCCACCACCTCAAGGCCAGCTCCGCTCAGTCTCATGTCCTGCTGCGGATGCCCCGGGGCCACAGAAGTCAGGTCATCCCCGTTGGTGGAGGACAGCGAGACCAAGACCGGCAGCAGCTGCTCTGGAAGGAAGGGGGGACTAGGTCGGGAGGGCGTGGCAGGGAGGGGACCCAAGGGCTGAGGGGAGGAGATCCATGGCCCAGAGCAGCAGCAATGGGGTCTCCGAGGCTAGGCAGCGGCTAAGGGTCCTCACCGAGGGCGCAGTGGCTGGGGGGCGCAGGCTCCAGGTGTGTGGCCTGGCGGCAGGCGGCCTCCCGCAGGTGGCAGGTGCTGGCGTGGACCACCCCGTCGGAGCCGCACACGGGGTCCCCCTGGGCGCTGCAGTCGTGGTCGCAGCCACATCGCTCGATCGCCGCCCCATCTTCAGGGGCCACCGCAGAGCCAGACTCGCCGGGGGACCATCCTGGGGGACGAGGCAGGGTCGACAGGGCACGGGGAACCCCCACCCTGCATCTTGCCCGCTCCTCCACAGACCCTGGGGTGGGGGAGACGTCCCTGGGTCCTGGGCCCACTCCCCCGGGGGGGTCGGGGGGCGCAACAGTCAATGGAAGGTCCTGAGCCCTGGCCTCACAGAATTTCACGCAAGTATTTGCCTAATACTTACAAAAACAGAAACAGATTTTTTAAAAACTTGTAAGCTAAAAGCAATCAAAACTAATTCCAAGAAATCTGGAAAAAAATGTTAAAGGAACCCTGAAGGATCCCCAACTCTACATAGCCCTTTGTTGGGGGCCTCTCTGCCGACACCCTCTAGGTTGTAGGGGGGAGAGGAGGAGGCAGGGCCTCCTGTCTGCCACATCCTGCAACAGCGCCTGCCCACGCCCCGCCTCCTTGGCCACACTCACCCCAAACCTGTCCTCCCCACCCCCCGCCCTCCTCTGACCCCACCCACCCTCAACCCCGCCCTGCACTGGCCAGCCCACCCAAACCCTCCCTCTCCGCACTGATTACGTCTGCCTGCAACCCCGCCCCCTCTGCACTAACCACCCCCACCCAAACCCTCCCCCTCAGCATTGACCACATCCACCCAACTCCACCCCCTAAGCACTGACCACACCCATGCTGCTCCGTCCCGCCCCCTCCCCGCAATAAGGACACCCACTCCGCTTGGTCCTGCCCTCATCGCACTGACCACTCTCAACCCACTAAACCCAGTCCTCACCACAGTGACCACACCCTCACAGGCTCTGCCCTGCCCCCAGTATACTGACCATTCCCCAGCCACGTCCCCTCCCCACTTACTGCTCCCGCAGCCACGCCCCTCAGCACTGACCACTCCTCCAACCATGCCCCTCCATGCTGACCACTTCTCCAACCACGCCCCTCCACGTTGACCACTCCTCCAGCCCCTCCGAACTGCCCATTCCCCAGCCACGCCTCTCCACACCGACCACTCCCCAGCCATGCCTATCCGTGACCACTCCCCAGCCACGCCTCTCCACACTGACCACTCCTCCATCCCCGCCTCCCCGCACGGCAGAGCGCCGGCCTACCCCTGCGCAGCGTGCCCTGGACTTTCCGCAGGCTCTCCTCTGCCAAGCACCCAGGGGAGCCCTCCCAGCCATCCGCGGGTGGGAGTCA